CATATACAAACACACACACACACACAACACACACACCCACACACACACACACACACACAGTGTTTCATTCCTGTATGACCACAACAAACAAACCTTTAAAACGCTTAAACTTTCAAATTAAATGTTTTTTTCTTTATTGGTTTTTTGTTGGTTGCTTTTATCTCCCAAATGTGACAAAAACATTTGTGTTAAATTGTTTTTCTGCGTTCATAAGGAGCAAAATCTTTAGCTTGAAGTAAAAATAACCACATTTGGAGATACTGAAGAGATAGCTGATAGTAGCTGAATGTGCAGCCTGCAGGTGTGAGTATACTGTGGACAAAATACTGGCAGCCAGCTGAGAATATACTGGAGGAACTGGATCTGCAGGAGTCAGAGCTCACTGGTAATATGAAGGCAGAAACACCGCACACACCCACTGACACAGAAAACACACTATAAGATTATTCTGTTGTTCTAAATAATGAACAGTACATGGTTAATAATAAAAAACAATCCGAGTAATGAAACTGTGAGTCATTACCAGATCAGTCTTGTGTCACTCGTGGTAAATCTTGCTGCTGTTTGGCTGCCTGACTGAACTCCCTGCAGTGAACAGAGGAAGGACTTACCTGTTCAGGTGAAGCTGTCTTGCCGGTGCCGATGGCCCACACAGGTTCGTATGCCAGCACCACTTTCCCCCAGTCCTTCACGTTCTCTGGAACACAACAACGCCCCCCCCACGCCATCAGACAGCTAAACTCTTTATAAACCAATATTTATAGTCCTTTATGTTCCTATATAACATAACATAATGTCTGTAAGCCCTGTGTGTGATTTTAAAACACTACATAGAGTCTTTCTTCGGTCCTCTCTCCTCCTAAAGGCAGGGCCGCGCTGCCTTCAGGGCCATCAATTCTCTTTCTTGTTTTAGAGAAAATGTTGCATTCACAGAGGAACAAGACGACCGTGTCTCAAGAAATTTCTCCACCCGCAGAGACCACTGACCTATTTGCATTTTAAATCAGCGTGTAGCCTACTTCGAGTACAGCAGCTACAAAACTGCATCCATAAAATCTTGTAATATCTGACTGCGGGCTCGTCTCCAAACCGGTAGCTCTACTGGCAGATACCTCAGGGCAAAAATAATAAACATAAAAGAAAAGGTAGCAAGAGAACAGAGAATATAGAAAATCCAAATAAAAGCTCTTCCCTTCTTCACCTGCAATGACCTGCGTCTGAGCGTAGACCACTTCTTCTGTGGTGCCCGCCTCCCGCTCCTCCAGCTTCTCCCCGATGCACGCGATCACACCCAGGTCACTCTCCAGAGCGTGAGCCACCTGAGAACCAAGCAGACTCAACTCTTTACCTGCGTCTGCACACCTGACACACACACACACACACACATACACACACACACAGATCTGCACAACACTGCTGTAGTGTTTGAAGAGGATTTGACTTTTTACCTGCTCTTTGACTCCTCCGAACATTAAAGTTGCTGTTTATTAGTTGCTATCAATGCAACATCAGTGCGTTCACTTGTAGACCGACCACAGACTGTATAATATTAGCTGATGTAGCCAGCATGACGTGAGCCAGTGGTTTGTGGACTACCGTTTTGAAGGAGTCTGGCATTTTGGCCACATTGCTACGCCTCTGTCCTGATTGGCTCAGACTGAGAAGCCGAGGACATGGATGTGATTTGTCGCCACAAGGTAGCCACGCCCTAAAGCTTTATCGTCTATTTTACTCTAAATGGGACCAGAACTTACTAAATGAACACGCGCTGTATGGAAGAAGGCTTGAAACGAGTGAATGAGACAATAAACTCATTAAGAAACTGAGATAATAAATCAACAATCTCCCTTCTTTTTGCAGCCAGTGGAGTCGCCCCCTGCTGGCCGTTAGAAATAATGCAGGTTTTACACTTTGCATTTGCACTTTTAAGCCGGAAGCTACGTCCTCTGCTATCATACAGGTTAAACGGGACCGACCCAAATTTCTGTAGAAAGCATCTCACCTTCTGGCCAATGAGCTCGTCACCTTCCCCGAAGACATGACGGCGCTCAGAGTGTCCCAGGATCACCCAGTCCACCCCGCAGTCCTTTATCATGGACGGACTGGACGGAGAGGAAAATGTTTAAGACACAGAAGATCAGCTGCAGATGCGTTTTGTGAAGCACCAAATCAAATCTCATATTATATTTGCATCATATTTGTATTTTACATATCTAAAATTCTACATTTTAAGGTTAATTTATTGTCATTTTGCAAGACGTTTGTACAATGACATAAACGTTTTATACAATATATACAATATTTAAATTATAAATAAAATTAAAATAAGATAAAACAATATATAGTTATATAGATATATACCAATATGTAATATAATGTAATATAAAGTTAATTGACCATCCATCAGCCTACAGTCTAATTAATAAATAATATGTGCATTCACTCAGTGGGTGAGATACCTGATCTCCCCTGTAAACGCTCCCTTGGCCACCTTGTAGCAGTTCTGGGCTGCGACACCGATCCGGGGATCCAGACTGGACCGAGCAAAGTCCAGGTAGATGGAGGGAGCAGCACACACCACCTCTGAAAATCAGGGAAGAGGTGGGGTTTTTTTTGTTGACTGTGACTTTAACTGAATCATTTTCTGTTTGTTTGCATCACTGCCCCCATCAACATCCTCTTCTGGGCGATCCAACCCTCTAAAATGGGAATAAACATGTTTCCTAACTGGATTTTTCCATCCTGCATTTGAAGTTTATAGGACACCGTGAGAGGCAGCGGGGTGGAAGTGATACATAAATGTGCCTTTGGACTAAAAAGGTTCATTTAATTAGATTTAATTGGGTTACATTTCTTTTTTTTTTATAACTAACAGCTGCAGTGTGCCTCTCTGTGAACAACTGGAACAGCTGGGTTCATTTTAAAACAGTTAAATTAAGTTTCTGATTACAGTCATTCATCAACATTATCTGGTTCCATCTTCCCAAACACGAGGATTTAATTATTAATTGATCATCTTTAGGTTCTCACATCTGACGTCACCGTGGCCTCTGAGACGTTGTGACGTTGTTTTTTACCTCCTTCTGACATTTAGTAAATTAAAGAATTCATAATTTTGAATTAGTCATAACTACTAATAATTAGTAATGTCGCACTTACAGTACTCGAGTAAATGTACTTCGTTACTATACCACTGGGGATAAGATAACGTCAGAGGCCTTCATGCAACCCATCCTGATCACATGACTCCCAATGTCACGGTGTCATCTCCTCTCTGTCTGACTCTCAATCGATCACATGTATCGATCCGCGGCTGATGGCGTGTGTCACTGACGGCTCGGTTACCGGTCTCGTCGTGCAGGCTGGCGGTGTTCAGGGTGGTGATCAGCTCCTCCAGACTCTCCTTGTTCCCGTTCATCTTCCAGTTTCCTCCCACGAAGAACCTCCGGAGCGCCATGGCCGGCTGCAGGTTGGCGGGTACCCGGTGAGCAGAGCAGGTGGAGGGGGGTCCGGAGGGTCAGCTGAGCCGCAGGATGAGTCCGGACGGTGTGTACGTCAGGGGCTGTCGGAAATATCAGAGTCAACACCGGCGAAAAGTCCCTCTTCTTCTGCTCCTTTGGGTTCATACAGAGTCAAACAGCTTTATGGTTCATTAGCGCCACCTGCTGGTGAAGTGGACTCACAGTTGTTTCCTTTTATACGTTTCATCTTATTTCCGAAGGCTTTTATTTACATGATGTAATACTGTAGTTACCCTGCAGGATTATGAAGAGGAAATATGATACTTAACTGATCCCTTTATTATTTTTATTATTATTGTTATTATTTTATTATTATGCAATGCTTATTACTTTAAACATCAACAAAAAAAAATTCATTTTCTTCACAGGTTTCGTTTAAAGATGATTTTTGACATTGATTGACTCACAGATTCAGATACACTAGAGTGCGCCTGCCTGCCTTTATCTGCTTGATGTTTAGATATATGATTATGTTGATGTAAAGTAAATAAAAAACTCTCCACACTTGAGTATGGGAAATACTTGTTTCTGATTGGCTGGCAGGTTTCCTTCAAATGTTCTATCAGTACACTTTAACCAGACTTAAGGTCAACAGTTTAAAGCTGGAGCAGGTAACCATAGCAACAGTGCTGATGCTTTATGTCATGTAACCAGCGGATTTAAGCATAATAATGATAACAGAGGATTATTCCCCTCCATTAAGTCCATTATTTCCGTGTAACAGGACCGCAGGACTTTAGAGAGACTGGGGTAGTTTTCTTCACCCTCAAAGAAAAGTTTGTCCAGACACCAAAAAGTCTCTAAAATAGTTAATTTGGATTTTTTTAAAAATACTTTATTCAAAATGTAAAAACATTGGGTGGGAAATTACTTGAAACGTGTATATATTTCATTTTAATTTGATTTGATTTGTATCATAACAGAAATGATCTCAGGACACTTTTCAAATAGGGCGGGTCTAGACCGTACAAAATTATTCACAGAGACCCAACAATTCCTACCATGAGCAAGCACTTGGTGACAGTGGCAAGGATTTAACACGTAATCATCTAAAAAAGCTCCCAGGATGCTAACGCTGAATCCCAGAATGAAGCTGAATTTCTGTCCATGTTTTTGTTTGGTGATGTATTTCTTTCATTCCAGCGGACATCATGTTGCAGCAGCTATTCTGACATCTAAACCATAAACTGTACACATCAGGTTTTGGTGTCCATCTCTCAGAATGAAAACAATCACTTCAGTATCCAGCCCCAGACTCAGCCCCACCATCATTTGTATGTCCTCCGTGCTGTTGCGTGCAGGTGTGAGTCATGCTGCTGTTACAAACTTCCCTCCAGACTCATTTGTCCTTCAGAGCTCAAGAGCCGCAACTGCAGGGGCCAACTGTGTTCCACATGTACGTGTAGAAAGTTATTTATTCCAAGTGCAAGTTCTTCCGTATCATATTCAAGATCACAACACAGAGACTCAGACATGGTGTTAATGCAGAATTCTATGTTTATTAGAAAGATTTTCAACAAACATTTCGTCTTTTTACAGAGGGACTGCACGAGTGTAAAAGTACTACAAAATGCAGCTGAACCCAGGGGAGTAAAATAAACTTTACAGGTCTTTACAGAGTGTTTCCCAGCTCAGACCGCCTGCCTGGCTCCACCTTTAAACCTGGAAACGGCAGCAGCCATCTTGGATCAAAGTCTGCTGATTGTAAGCAGGGGACCCAAGATGGCAGCTCTACTGAACACATATACTCTGCATATGTGCAGTGGGGGAAAAAAAAAATAGACGCTGTACATCAACTCTCCGTCCTAATGTGTTAAACTATAAAATACAAATAAATTTACATAATCTTTCATCTAAATAAGTGCAGGGCTCTTTTACAGGCCAAATACAATAAAAATAAATCTGTAAGCCTACAGTCTTATTTTCAATATTCACGTGTTCTTTCTTTTTCTTTATTGTCAAAAATCTATATGTGTTTAATCGACATTTTGAATAATGTGCTATGTTTTTAATTTTTCAGCATTTAAATCGCCTCGACAACAATAAAACTCTCTTGTACGTGCAGCGGGAAGCATCGTGCACTGTTTACCTGATGCCATTTATACAACCTGACTCATTCGCAAACGCTCATATTTTGCATACGTGAATGAGGAAGAAGCAGAGAGGCAGAGAGAAAGAGAGGAAGATCTGTGCTCCAACATCCAACAACCTCACTGGTCCCCCTTTCCCTCTACTCTTCTCCTCCCTATCTTCAACCTTTTCCTCCCCCTTTCCTCCTCTTCCTCTCCGCCTCCTCCTGCTCTCCCTCTCCCGGTGTTTTCCTCCGTCGGGGTGCCTCAGTTCCACAGTTTGAGGAAGCTGTCCCAGGATCCTGTGCAGACACCCATGCCATCACCGGGGACGCCGGTGCAGCTCACCCTGTTGTCGTGGCCGGACAGCACACCTGGAGGAGGAGGAGGAGAGAGAGAGAGAGAGAGAGAGAGAGAGGAGGAGAGGTTATGGAAAAGGAAGGAAGTTTCATATAATCCTGTCAGATTTATTACTGATTGAGTTTTTTCTGATGCGTATTTAAAGGACCAGTGTGTAGGATTTGGTGTTTTCTTTGTCTCACTTCCATATTCTTTAATGTTAACCTGCACACAACCTTTACACAACATTTATCACTCTGAAAATAGATTTGTAACTGGTGACTCTTTTGTCTACACAAGAGTTAACAGACTTTAATGGACCGGTTGCACAGCAGAACTTTTGACTTGTTAAAGCCGGAAAAACACTGGTGGGCTTAGTTATGATGTTTCAGTTCCATTAAGTGTCCCAGTTACAGTGACAGTGAACCAGCATGCACAGCAAGTGGGATGGAGCTATCACAAATACACTTTTGAGTTTCCTGCTATGACGTGAAAATGTACAGCCATCAATTCATCCATTCTTTGTGAAACATAAAAAATACTTTTTAAGTATTCAAATGCTGAATACATAAAGCCTACTCACCAACTTTCTCTCCCTTCAGTGAGTCCCAGATGTGGCAGTTAAAGTCATCATAGCCAGCAAAGATAAGGCGCCCTGAGCTGGAGAGAGCCAGAGACGTGACGCCGGCGTTCAGGCTGGAGTCCTGGTAGTTGCTCACCTCCTGGTCGGAGCGCAGGTCGTACATCTTGCAGCAGCAGTCATCGGAGCCTGTGATGATGGCATTTCCGTTGGGGAAGAACTGAGGTGGGGAGAGAAAAGGACAGTTTGTGTTTATATGTATGTGTGGTGAAGATTTTATTGGAATGTGTACAGGAGGAAGATACATGTGGCACATTGTGTTCATTTTAAAAAATTTTAAGAGCCATGCCTGCTTAAAATGTATAGCCATTGCCTTTCAATACTTGATCCTTTCAAAACCCACAGCCAATCCAATCAAAATCTAAATCATATTACTAGCTAGCATATTACATCTGGAAAATTGGTACATTTTTAGGAAAAATCCCTTTTTTGAGCTTTGAGTGTTACCTGTCAAAAACCAAAAACTGGTCATTTACAGGCACCGGATCTTAGTATTTGAGACAGTAAGTCATCCCAACGGCCTGCTCATCCAAAAACCAAATACAAACATGTATTAAACAGCCATAGGAGCAATGATAAAAACTCTAAATGTAAATGACGTGCCTGTATGGCGTTGATGTCGCTGGTGTGTCCGGAGAAGGTCTGCTTGCACGCCCCTTCCCTCAGGTCCCACAGCTTGGCCAGAGAGTCACAGGCTCCAGAGATGAAGGTGTTCTGGTCGGTGGAGAGAGCCAGGGACATGCAGTCGCCAATGTGGTTGGTGAAGATGATCTTCTGCTTGCCAGTCTCCAGGTCCCACAGACAGCTGCAGAGGAGAGGGAGGATAGGGCGTTATTAATAGACGAGGGCATGCAAGGAAAAGAAAGAATGATTTGGATCGGGTCGAATTATCCATGGGCCTGTTTGGATGTGGGTTTGTGTCCACTTTAGTATCTCCATTCCATTTTGTATCTGATCCTAAAACTTCTGCATACAACTCCAGACAGTAGTTTCAATTCCATCTTGTGAAGATGTGTATTCAAAGGTCAAGTAATTTTGGATCTTAGAACTATTGTTGCTGAGTGGCATCACCTTTTTAGAAAAAGGTGTATGACTTTGTGTTTAATGCTTTTTAAATAATTAAAATGTATTAAAAGCATTAGCAATATTCACAAGTAAAATGAACTGTTATTGAAATAAGAAGATCAGTCAGTTTCATCTGTGTTTAGCAGATGTACTGTTTGCTGTATCTTGTTAGCTAGCCACCAATCCTTATCAGAGCTCTTCTGGGAGACGGTTGCAGGTCAATAAAAAATGCTAATTTGCATAAGTAGTTAACACGCGTCTGTTTCATATTTAAAAAGGACATTTTGGAGCTGTCGGAAGGCACCTTGGATAAAGCTAGGCTAACTGTTTGTGCTAATGGACCAAAGAGATAAAACATTCTTGATTTTGATTTTGCATTTATGTTTTTAACAATATAAATTATAAATGTCTCTCTTTTGATTGGTGATTTATTCTAAAGGGGGACACAGGACAGATTAATCACAGAGCAAATATGTGTCCTGTAGCAGTTGGGAATCACACTTTGGATTTGAATGCTTTGGATTGAAAATAAGGTTGCCTTTTCTTCTATACACATTTTGCAGTCCATTTTGTTATTGTAGCTGAAGGCAAAATGATCAATGACCATCTCACCAGGTGGTGTCGCCGGATGCTGTCAGGATCTCAGTGTCGCTGAGGAAACGGCAGCAAGACAGGTAACCTGGGTGGGACAGAGAGAATAGTTTTGTCAGTATCTCAGTCTGACCAGACATCAGTTCATTTCTCTAACATACACTTCATTTGAATGTTTCCCTGAGGACATTTTCAGCCATTTAAGAAGGCAGAAGGGCTCCGGTGAGTGTCATCCTCACCTGTGTGTGCGTCCAGCTCCCTGAGGGTCTTGGGGCTGGTGGACTTGATGTTGTACACTGTGCACATGTTATCCAGACCACCGCTGGCCACCAGGTTACCAGAGGGGGCGAAAGCGACGCTCATCACCCAAGCTGACTTTAGGGGGACAGCAACCAACTGGGAAGGGGAAATTTAGTTTTAGTTGAATCGAAACCTCCTTCACCTACACGGGTAGTAGTTCTCAATATAGAGTAAAACTCTGTGGGAAGGAATGTGATTTCATTTGTAACTAAAACTCAATCAGTGACTGGTAATGATTGACAAAAGTGGTGGGGTAGTATGTGAACAACTGCATTCACATATAATCTGCACAGGTTGTTTGAAACCAGTGTTTATAGGCCACAGAAATTAAACCATCACTGAATACTTAACTCACCACTGAAATCCAAACTAATCTAATTATTTGAGGATTAGAAGCTCCAACAGGAAGACTAATCTACCCAAATCAATCACAGGCTCAGTTCAATTCATTTAACTAAAAACTGCTTTACAAAACAGGATCAAAGAATTACTTAGAAAAGTAAAGTCAAATTTCTCTGTTTCTTGGCTGAGTAAATGTTGTCTCTCCACTATCAGACACATTAAATCAGTTTAACTCTGTCACACCGGTACAAACATCTGTGAGCCTCCATGGACAAACTGAATGTTTTGTGTAGGAGTATTTACAGCTTTAACACCACTTATTTAAAACAATAAAATAAACTGACTGATAAAAATGACCTAATTGAGCAAAAATAAGTTCTGTGGTTTAAGTCAGTGGTTCCCACTAGGGGTCGCCAAAAGCTTCACACGGGGTCACAAGGCCTTCTTGATTTTAGGAGGCGTAAGAACACTTAAAAAATACACACAGGAGGCCTATATCTCAGCATTTGGTTCACTTCTGTGAAGAAAAGTAAATGTAAAGTAAATTGTCTAATAGAACAATGGAGAGTCAAGGGACAAGAAAACACTGAATTTGTCAAGTAAGAAGCCTATTAGGTATGTATGATTGTTAAAAATATATATTTTTTAAAACCCATACATAATACAGACAGAGAGTTGTATAAAAAGTTCCCTAATCTGCTCACAATTCATCCAAATCGCTTGTTTTTGCAGTTGCTGAGTTCAGTATTTGGGTTCATTGAATGGTTTTGATTATAATATGAAATATTAGGGTTTTGTGAGTTTATTAAATGATAGAAAAAGGTTGAACAAGGCACAGTGATAATTAAAGCCCTAAGGCATTTAACAAGAGTATGGCAGAGGACATTTCAGCTGACATTGCTCTCATGGCTTCTTCTACCTCACCTAAAAACATACAGTTGCCATTATTGGCCCATTTTGTATACTGACCTTTATAACACAGATTTAATTTAGAGTATGTGAGCTTACCTTGTTCCCTGTGAAGCAGTCCCAGACGAGAAGTTTGCCATCCTGTGATGCACTGACCATTTGCCTGTGAGAGAGACGACAGAGTCACTCTGACTGACTGAAATCTTCATTATTAAGAGACTAAAGAAAAACAATTCATCTTGAAACATTTATATTGAGTGTACCAAAAAGCTCCAACAACACTACCGACTCAGATCACACCTCTGGGAGCATGTAACAGTACCGCTCATCAACCATTAATAAAGTTACACCAATTAACTATATCTCGTCTTAATGCCTTTTATGTTGTACATAAAGCAGTAATCTGTTTCAGAAACACAAGACTGGATACTTGTTTTAAATCTTCGTCTGAGACAAACCCGCTATTGTTTTCTTCAAACAAAATTAATCCAACAGGTGGACACTAATAGTACACTACTTTTAAGCGTTCCCAAGCTTGACCTACAAAAATAATGGTATGACAAAAGTTCTTTCTTTCTCTAATAGGTAGCTAAAGAGCACACAGATTAACTGGTGGCACCAGAACTAATAAAACCACTAAAGAAACACTTAAGTTTCTCTTTGGCTCCTTCCACTGACACCTCACTGAGATAACATTTGAACATAAACCTGAAGGAAAATCACAGATAAAAATAATAAATGCTTCAGTTTCAGGGTCCTGGTATTGTGCATGCAGGCTCACTGTCACACTGTCATGACTTACTGGACCATCATTAATGTATCAGTAGCTCCTGTGCTGTTTCCTAAACTGTGCTCTGAAATGTGGTAAAAACCAGTCTGTGATGGTGGAGGAACTCCTGTCCACCTCCTCGTCCTCACCTGGAGTCAGCTGACCAGTGCATGGAATAGATTTTAGCCAGGTGACCCTTGAGTGTCTTCCTGAGCTTCAGCTGGATTCGGCCCACTGAGGCCACGCCCCCTGCTGCTCCTGTCATGCTGCTGTCATTCACAGCCTTGCGGGCCGCCTGGTGGTCACACAGGGAGTTATATGTAGGGGAGAAAGAAGAAAAGAGTCAGGAAGGTAAACTCCACACAGCTATGCCCAAACCCCCCAAATCTGAAGTTGAGTTGATTAAAATTATATTTCACAGCAGCCTTTTTTTACATAAATTAGTAGGGTAAACACAGCTGTCACCAATGATACTTCTTCATCCGTTCCATTCAGGTCAAACATAGTAAGTGCGATTGTGCATGGCTCATTGGAAAGGCCCTGCTACACTAAATGGAACAGAACCTTAAGTAGCATCCTTGGTTACACCTATGTTAACCCTATTATTTCATGTCTGCTGTGAAAAAGGTCTATTCAGGCTCAATTGATCTTTTCACTATCTTAACACATTTAAAGGTGCTGTTATAAGTCATTTAAAGGTCTGTGATACTGCTGGTGGAAGTGAGAGAAACTGTACTTGTACTAGTAACGGTAGTACTATTGTGGTAGCGGTGGTAGAGGACATTAGATAGCAATAATGCTAGTGGTATTAGCTCACAAGATAAAGCTTATTTGATCTATTGTCACCGTCCGATGAAAACCATGTATCCCTAGTTCTGTGTATTTTCAGGTAAACTAAAACATTAACTATTTCTTCTGGTTTGAGGATAGTCTCCTACTTCTTAAGCTAAATAAACCTTTTATTTAATTCCATTAGATTGAAAACGTGGACAGCAATGTGATGTTCTGTGTAATCGGGTCTCGTGAGGCTTCCAGATATTTTAATAAGTGCTGAATGTTTCTCCTGCAAGAGGAGCTCACCTCAATCTGTGCACGGAGGCCATCGCACTCCTTTTTCAGTTTGTCCATTTCAGCTTTCTCAGCTGCCATGGCGACGGTTGCTAGGGGATGTTACTGGCGGAAAACGAAAAACTGTCACTCTGGTACAGGAAACAGAGAGAGAAAGAGAAAAGACAAAAGAATCAGTTAATTCAGTATGACCAAATAATTTAAACTAACTTGCACCATGTTAACTGAAGGAATTTACTGCCTTTGGCCAATAATGTGGTTCCAGCTTGGATGTGGTTCCAGTACAGGAACACAATGATCCACTGAGCAGGCTGTGCATCACTCAGTGATCCTGATACTTTGACCTGGAACACTTGAGTTGCTGTTACACCATCGAGTCTAGAGCAAAGATTAGACACATACCTGACGGGTTTAATCCCTCCCTAAACCAAAGTTGTAATAGTGTAAGCTCTCATATTGTCTGATAAAATAATGAACATGGAAGGAAAGAAAGAAGGGAAATGTTGAAAGTAGAGATTGAACAAAGGATCAGGATTTAAAGTAGATGTGTAGGAGAGATAGGAGGGAAGGAGGGAAAGAGCTGCAGGAAAGAAGACAGGGAAATGTAGAAAGGAAGGAAGTGAGGAAAGGAGCTAAAATGTAATTTAGACTTAATGAACAGGGCATGTAAAAGCAGTAACAGTACAGTTCTAGATGGTACAGCTGAGTTTTAATGTTCAACAGAGGCTACAGTAAGAGTTGAGAATCCAAATAACAAATCTCCTCTTTAGGCTTTATTAACAGACTCACTTTAAGTTCTTTCATTTGAGCTGTTGCATCAGAACTTTCCCCTTAATGAAATGATGACCAGCTCATCTTCAGATATTTTGAAGTCAGTATGCGATGCTTTGGAATTCTCTGCAAAACGCTCTGCAAAGCATTTTCATCCTTAATATTTTCATATTTTATTCAACTTTGATGATTTTGGTGCTTATTCATTGACTATTTTCAGCTTTGTAAGGTCGACTGACTGAGGGGTTTGGCTTGGACCCAGAAGTACATGGACTTAAACAATAAAATAAGTTTTCAACCACCAACATCACAGCAATAAAACAGTGTTTAATTTCATGTAACATTTAAAACCTTTTACTCCTGGTTATTTTACTTTCACATCATTCACATTTCATCTCCCAAAAGCTTTGCTTGCAGTAGTTTACTGCATGTGCCTAATACTCTGTAATAGGATACTGACGTCTGACTAATTTAACATCAGCTACCTCCGTGCACAATTCTGCTCGTTGGCAATGAAACTCTTTCAAAACTCCAACCTCCACAAATGAGGAAAGTATTACTATCGAGTCAAGCATCATTCCATACTTAAAAAAAGACCCTCTGAAAGGTTGTAAGCAATGCAAGTGTGAATTCTGCATCACTTCCTCTTATTTAAATACTCTGTGCAACAGTTTAAACCCTTTATATTTTTATTACTAATAATTTGCACCAGTAAATACAATGCAGCAATGCTTAATATTCTCTGGTAGCAGCTTCTCAAATGTGAGGATTTGAAGCTTTTCACAGTTTTATATTGTTGCAATTTGTATATGTTAAAGGTCTACAATATTCACTGGACAAAACAAGCAATTTTAAGATGTCTCTTGTGATGGGAATTTTCTATACATTTTATTTATTAGACATTTCATTGACTAAATATTAAATCAAATATGGAAAAGAGTCAAAAGATTGATTGAAAATGGCCAGTTGCAGCCCTGCATGTACGTGTTGCACAATAAGGTCAAGAGATCCATTAACAGTAGAGGGGAAGGTTCAGGAGGTGGAATATGTGCAGCACAGGTAGCAGCTTGAACCTGTGACAGGATGCAGGATGGAGGGTGGAGGATAGGGGAGGGACAGCAACGGTGGCGGCAGTGGGGTGGTTTGCTACAGGGCTTTAAATCCCGGGCAGGAGATCTTAAGGAAAGCTTTACCGGTCAAATCTCCTGTCATCCGATTACTGACTGCTCTTTACCTCGGGATCAGAGAGAGAGAGGGAAGGAGGTTGACGGTGGTAGATGTGGTGGGTCTGTTATAGTCAAACATCATCAGCTCCTCCTTTACTGTCCTGTTCTGACAGATATGATGGTGCATTTCACATATATGTATCTACTCTCAAGGGAAGTCATTTCTAGGGTTAAATATGATCAGCTGAAGCCAAGGAAAATGTTAGTCCCAGAAAGAGACAAAACCCTCCAACAGCAGCCCTCGCAGTACCAAACATGCTGCAGGAAATCTGCAGACAAAGTGAGCTGAGTGAGGTCTGGCCTTGTGTGAAAGATCAGGCTGCAGCTTACAGCTGCCACACCTGAGGCACCAATCCTCTTTGGCAGCTTCCCTACAATCCAAAGATCACCTTCAAAGGGTTTAAGGAATCATTACATTGGATGCAGTCTTACACTGGACTCAATAAATTATTCTCTCACTTGCAAGAAATTTAAAGTGCTTTTAAAAGCTGTCAGGAGTTTATGGAGTTCAGTAGCTTTCTGCATGAAAAATGACTCGTGAATTTTGTAGTACAACTGTGAGGAAGTGAGGAAAATGGGAGGAAAGCTCATGCTTCCCCAAAATCACTGCAAACTGCAGCTGCAGCTGCAGCTACATTTCATAGTTTGCAGGCAGCCATGTGCAGGAAACCTCCATTAAGTTTCCCATCAGTGTTGCACATAGTAAGAAAAATCCACTTTCTGTTTTTCAAAACTCACAAAAGCAAAAATCCACTTTAACTTCACATAATAAGATGATACAGCTTCACGGCATTTCACCGTAGCTCCAAACGTTCTCCAACGGCAGAGGAAGCACCTGAAGAAAGTGCAACTACAGAAGCATAAAAGAAGATACTCACCTTCTCCACACGCAATGTGGTCCCTTCTCTTCTTCTGCACCTGTGCAGCTCCTGGTTCCCAGACACCTTTGGCTCTGAGTTCCCCTTTGAGCTTTTTTAGATTCCACAATCCCAGGGTGCACAACCTGCTCGCTGGCTCCTCCGATGCTCTCCCCTGGCAGACTGCTAGCAGCTTACTTGTGAAAAACTCTCTCTTTCTCTGTCCCTTCCTCCACAGTGAAGAACAGATGAGGATTGGAGGGGATGAAGGAGATAAGGGATGAAGGGATAAAGCTCAAAGATGGAAATAGAGAGGAAGGAGAGAGAGAGAGAGAGAGAGAGAGAGAGAGAGAGAGAGAGAGAGAGAGGGAGAGGGAGCATGGCGAGAGGAGGTACGTAAACCGATTGTAAGAAGAAAATCAGGTTATGAGGTCAAAAGACAGGAGCAGATGAAGAAATGAAAGAAGAGAAAGGGAACAGGTGGAGATGAAATGTGAGAATGTGAGAAAGGAGAAAAAAGATTGTGGAGGTTTGCAAAGAAATAACACCTGTTGCACAAACACTGGGCACTGAAGGAAGGAAACGCACACATCAGCCATGATGCCACATTATTGAATATGAAAGTATATGCTGTTGTGTTATGCTCTGATCAACCAGTTTAATGCTTCTGGTGCAATGAAAGCAAACAAAAAAAAAAGTTCAATGAGCCTCATTCCAACCACTTTTAATGCTTTCAAGGAAGCACATAAAATTTCACCAGACCCATGACAACCGAGAGGTGACTTTGTACTCTGACTCCTGGCATTGCAGTGCATGTTCTTTGTCAGGATGCAGGAGCGGGGATGGATAGTCTGGGGCGGAGGTTGACAGGGGTGAATTGGTTTGTCAGAGCTAATGAGCTGAGCCCGGTTAATCAGGGTCTAATGGGATATCCGGGGACGAGCAATCTCGTTAGGGAATTAGAGCAGGTCAGGCAAAACGTGCGTCACACCTGACACACAGCGAACGCAGAGATGAAAGGTGGATCAAGAGTCAAACGTAGAGTTTTGCCTCAAAATGAGAAACGTGGCAGCTGCTCTTTTAAACAAAGGTTAAAATTGAAAGAGATAGTCGTCTTAGAATAAAATAACAGCTTGAAAACACTTTTAAAGAAATCATCTGCGATTAGGAAATTGTTTCTTCTCCACAGCTGGTGTGTGAAATGATCAAATCAAAAGAGAAGGTATAGAAAAGATGGGTAGAAACGCTGGAGGTCAGATATATTTGGATGCCGACAGTGAGACAGGACAGGAGGGAGGTTTTGGGTCGAGCCATGACAGGAAGAAGAGCAGGTACTGGTCTTCAGCGAGAGATGAGCTCGTTTGGTCCGCCCACTTTGACATCCTGTAATCTGACTTGTGGTTTCAGGGGAGATTTATTTTTATTTTTTCTTCTTCTAGGAAAGGTGGTCGGGAACTTCACATGGGCTATAATCTGCTGTAATGTGATATGAAGTAAACTTAAAAAAACATAGTTCATGACTTTTTGCTTTCGTCCGCATTCCAGAGGAAGGCCAGAGGTCAGGATCCGCTAGCATCCTGGAGCTGGCAGAGAGCCAGTGTTTTACTCAAGGACACTTCAGCTGGATGAGTGAAGAAGGTTTAGATCTCTGGCTGAAATATTCCTGCACCAACAGTTTCACCAATATAATGTATTATTTTACTACACCGTGAAACATCATACGGGAATTTAGTTGAATGAACTAATCTTTTGTCATGAGCTTAACGTAGTTCATTCAACTTAAAATCTGAAGTTTTTATTTTCAGACCGCTTTAGAACTTATACACATAAATAGAGTTCACTCAATTATAGGTTTTTAAATAAAAAGACATGATCAGCATACTAGCAGATTTCCCAGCATGCACTCCAGGGAACTCATATGATGGAAACTGCAAATCACCATAAAGTCCTGAAGTCCCTGTGTCCACTCATATTTTGTACGAAGTTAGCAGCTAGTACATTCTTTGATTGTGGAAATGAAAATGGAAAGCGAATCTTTCTGTAACGGTTGTGACTGAACATTTGTTAAACCAACTTACCACAATATTTAGGCTATATTAACTTATTTTTTCAAGTTTATGTTAGTGGGGTTGGTTTTACATTGTCTTATGAAATCTAAATAAATATAAATAAGGGTGGACCGATGCTTTTTTCAGACCAAATACAAGTACAAGTATTTACATTTGGGTACTTGCTGATACAGAGTACCGATATGAGTACTTTATAATAGCATTACGTTCATCAGATGCTCCTCACATTTTGACTGTAACAAATTAAATGTCGCTAATATTGTAAAAGAAGCTTAGAATATCTCCAAACTGCTGACGTTGCTTCTCCTCCGTCTACCTGCTCAACTTATGAGAGGATACATAATGTCTCACTGACGTAAAGCGGTATCGGGGTAATTTTAGGGTTACAGTTAGGAGTACATGAGCACCCGATACCTGTTACTGGTATCGAACATTTCATTTACAACGCGGATTTCCATCCATTCTGAAAATGCTGGCAGGGCGTTTAAGAGGCAGCTGCCTAGAACTGCCGGCTGGTCCATGATAGGCCTTTGCTTATCTGAATGGAATGAATGGATAAATGCAGGAGCAAACAAAAAGGCTGAATCTTGTTCTTAAAAGTGAAATCCTGATGACACAAGTATATCTTTCTAATCTGTTATGTCAAAGCTACACTATTATGCATTTGTGTAATAATACAAATGTCTTTAAAGCCAGGTTGGAAGCCTAATGGGTAATGACATTTGCTGAACAAATCTCTGACAATGTCAAGGTCAACTGATACAAAGAATGAGTTCTGCAGTTCCCTGTTTGTGCATGTTGGGACACTAAAAACCCCCAAAGTCAAAAACTAATATCGTACGATGGGCTTAATGAGTCTAGTGGCCTGGTCTAGTGCCAGCTGGCTGCTTGTCTGCGCAAGACTTTAAAACACTTGAGAAATGTTTACCTCTCCGCTCAGGCTCAGGTAATGAAGCCTAGTTACTACACTACAGCTCTAAGCCACAAGCCTCATCCTTATTGGTTCAGTGTCTGCTAATCCACTGTCACGTCATGAATCATGGGTGCATGCTGAGATCATCAGAGATGTTTGATGGTCTCCTCTAATGGGGACTTTCAGATTAAGCCTTATCTTGGGGCGGGTCTTTTTTTAGTAATTGATGCCACAGGTTTTGGCTCAGGCCTGGTGACGTCATACAGCGACATCAGCGTTTCACAGCCCTGCTTGCATGGCTCTGTGGTTTAAATCCTGCAGCATCCATTTTGAATCTGACATTTTTGTGTGTGTGAATGTAAACATAAATGCATCTTCATCTTCTGTCAAGAAGAACTTCAGTGCCAACGATTAAAATGTTTGTGCATTTAATAACACATTCTGCATTAGTCAAACTTTGTCTTATATATTTGTGTGTGTGCAATTTTTGATTTTTAATTATTAATTTAGTCTTTTTTTGTGGTTGCACAAGGCGTCAACTGTGATATTATGTCCCAGAAGACTTACATAACTGTCTTCTACTCACATAAAATGTTTTCTGTTTTGACCCATGGCTACTGCAGCAAGGACTTATGGAGCACCAGCTCTAGCAGGTGAGCTACCAGGGGACCGATGCTTTAAAAAAAAATCATATCTTTAACATAACTTTTATTTAACAAATAAACTCCACCACTCTCCTGAGATCTGAACCCAAATCTCCACATCCTGGCATTCTTCACCAGGGTGGTTCCCATTAATTAAAATAACTTCAGAGGATTGTACAGCCAAATCTGGACTCCATATATGATTATTCTCTGTGTGAGAGCTGCTGTAGATCGAAAAGCCCCTAAAACTCAGCTGTTGAAAGGTCCAGTGTGTAACATTCAGGAAGATCTATTGGCACAAATAACAATAATATAGGTATATTTTCATTAGTGGAGTCCAACATTGTTTCTACAGTAGTCCAGAAGGGACAAACCAAACACTGGGTCTAGATAAGGGCGTTGAAGTTTTCTGCATTATTTGTGGACACGCGGTTGGAAAGGGAGGGTGAAACGAGGGAGTTGCAATCTGCAGCTACACTTCTAGATGCCACTAAATCCTACATAATGGCCCTTTAAGTGAGTATTTGGTACATAACATATTTGTTTGTAGCTGTTCTAAAAGCAGTTTTTACATGTAAGCCCAATCAGGAAAATACATTTACTTTATGTTTCAGAGGCACTTCCTCTTCACTGTTTCATTGTTTCTCCCTTAAGACATCCCTTTGAGCGCTATCAGTGTAAGTGATGGGGGACAGAATCCAAAGTCCTTGTTTAGACACGACAAACCACACATAAGATGGCCTGTAGGACTGTAGGACTGTAGGCCTGTAGGACTGTATTTCCGAGGGAACGACTGAAAGTTTGTAAAATGAAGCTAAGTTCAGGTAAAGCTGTTCATTTACTGGTTCATCACCCAGGTATGTTAGACTCTTAACATATCACACATTATATGATTTTTATGACCCAGACTGGAACAGATCCGGTCCAACTTGGTCCCATCACGCACAAATCATATTCCCTGCCCGTGATCAAAGAGTATCTTTCAAAGTTTGTCTTTTTTGTACAAGATCAAGGCCAGTGTGAGCAGGAGGATTACAGCATGCAGAAATTCTAATTCTGACTGTATTTGAATGTTGAACAAACCTTTATCTTGAAACAAGGATCCACATATTTTACAAAATGTGCATAAGAGTAAAGAAATGTATTTTCTAATTTCAGAGACGAGATATTTACTGGACACGGTTTGGGTGATTTTTGGTGCATTTTCTGCTCATATGTTCCACAATACAATGTCTTTTAGGGTTTCACCTTTCAGTCTGTCTTTGTTGGATTTGATGATGGGAAATTATTACATAGTGTTAGTAAAGAGCCAGTATGTTTCTCCTTCCCTCTCTCTCAGTAAGTGCCGGCCTGTAATCCTAATGAACTGTGACAGAAGAGGGCTAGCTGACTTCCTGATAACTCCCTGCGGTAACGAGCTCAGGAGGGAAGCACGAGTACAAACCCTGCATTCAGCAGACCCCCCTCCACCTTTGGTTTCTTCATTAAGGGTTACTCTTAGCCCACTTTGACAAGACAGGAAGAGGACAAGATTACATTGAAGACATAATGTAAGTCTGAAATGACGTGATGAAACCTCAGGGGGATGTATGAGACTTATTTTGTACATGGGAAGTGTGTTAATACATTAAGAAAGAACAAACTTGTGCAGCTGGTCTCTAAACCTGTGAAAAAGTATTGTCCCTTTTATGGTCTCTTTTGTTTAAATGTATGTATTTTTATACTGCCTCTGTGTATTTTGTTGAACCACCAACCTAAGAATGTTCTTCTTTGAATAATAAAGTAAAATTTGGTTTGATTTGATTTGCCAGAGAAACGACAAATGTTTAATAAAAATGATGCACAGGTTAGCTCAAGGTAGTATTACAGGGGTTTCCACACTTTTTAAGAAATAATTTCCCAGAACCTTTCCAGGAAATTTCCCAGGAGTTTTTCTTGACTTGAATACAGAACAGCTCACAAATGCTCATATCATTCAGAATTTTCTTTGCGTCTGGTAAAGCTGCTTTAAAGTTCCATACCGTGCATGCTTATACTACCAATATGTTTATGTAGTCCTTCTGAGGGGCTAAAATACAATTATAAAACATCCAGGACAACATAGATTATTTTTAAGCAATTTGGTCATTTTAAGTCAATTTCCAGGTGTTTCCACGACTGGAAAACTTGTCTCTAAATTTCCAGGTATTGCAGTTTTCCCAAGACATGTGGGGACCCTGATTTAGATCTTTTTTTTCTCATAAATGTTAGAAAAGAAATCCCAATCTCAATATAATGTAAATTCACGTTTTCTTGTGTGGAAAAGAGTTAATCCGAAGATTCACTTAATGTTTTGGTTCATTTTCAGAGATTGACTTTTAAAATTGGTCGAAGCCTGATTTTGTTTTCATATTTTTAAAAGCATGGTTACCCTGTATATGTCTGTGTGTTTTTGTACATAAAAGGTATCTTTTCTACTTTACAGACCAAAACTGAAACTTAATCTGAAAATGCAGCAGGAGGAAATACCTCACATGAATTTATCATAAATAATTTCAAAATCTACTTTAGTTGCTGTTATTAAATGTGGCCTCCCATACAGTCACCATATTGACTATAGGTTGTTTGTGCTAGTAGTACCACCTGCTGGGAAACAACAATAACAACAACAGCAAGGATGAGAGGAGACATGACAGACGACAAACCACTGTTTGTTGTTTATTCAATTGAGTCACACTTTGGAGTTGACTCAGGTCCTTCTCTTTATTTAGAATAGATTTATACATATATACTGTATATTTATTGAAACTGTTCAGGCCATTATTATTATTATTTTGATACCAAATGAATTACACTTTTTGAGGCCATAACATGCTCGAAAACTCATGAAACTTCGGTGGTAACAAAAATATAAGTATTCTTTTGGTCCTGCACAAAATAGCTTAGCCCCATGTACGGCCGACATGTATAAAAATTGTGTGTATCATGATCAGACAATCCACAAAGTCCCATTTTAAATTAAGTTGTCATATTCAACAATTCTTTGCTTTATATTTGAACAAACTCCTCCGAGGGAACTGGGACAACCTTAAATTTGGTCAGTGAAATCTAAACATATTAACAATTAAAAGTTGTGCTGTTTGTGACGTTGAACTCGTGGTGTGGCGTTGGATTTTGACATCTGCCATGAAAATAGGAAGTTGTCATAACTTCAGTGTACATGGTCCAATCTCGCCCCAACATTTGAGAAACTGATCAATACGTAATGGATAAGATGACAGAACAAACCATTTACGTCTACCCCTTACAATAATTGCCATAATGTTAATTCTCATATTAAATCACTATAGAGAAAAGAAATTTCATGTGAAGTTTATATGATTTGCTTTGAAACTCCCAAACCCAGCCTGCAGAGAGGTCTGTGAGTATCATTGTCACTCTTATGAATCTTGTGAAGTGATTTTGTAAAACCTGCCTTTTGTTTTCTGGAGATAATGAGATATAACGAGAAAACAACCCTTGTTCACCCGAGACAACAAAACAATTCATTTATAATCTCGAGATAAAGCCATTAAAATGACTGTTCAGGGCTTCAGAATGAGATACGAAGATAAAATACTTTTACTAAATACTAAATACTAAAATAAGGTGAGACATGAAGATACAAAACAATTCTCTTTATTATTTATTTATCCACAGGACACATTTCTGCATAAATTATTGGATTTAGGTTGTTCAATCAAAACTTCAAAACCTGACATCCAAAAGTGCATCGAATTCAAACTGATCATTCTTACTGACTGTGCGTGACATCGCTAACATATTACAGTCATACACACCACCATAGACTACTACAAAGCACATTTACCATGTAAAAACAAATCAATTCTTAAATCCCTGATTTATAAATTCTACTACAGAATCATTTAAAAATATCATGTAAGTATCATTTATGTGGTATAAGGCATCAATTCACTGTAGGACCACAACGAGCCTATATAACACTATATAGAAGCACCACAATCCTCCTCCAGGCTTCAAGTGACGCACCTGAGGCTGATATAACTAACAGCCAATGACCTCCAGTTTAGCACAAATACATTCTATATAGATATACAATCATTTACAGGTGATTAGCAGTATAAAATATATGATGATTGATTATTGGTATCAAAATTGGAAGGATATTTTTTAGAATAGTTGGTGTATATAACAAAAATATTTAAAAACATATGTAAATTGCTGCATTATTGATACACAGATGTAATATACAAAGAAAAGAGCATTGGGATGCACTGGTTATTAGTAAATCTATTGCAACAAGTGTTGAGTTCTTCCTGAGTTCTTAAGAACCACAAGCTGCTTTCTGGTGATTTACTAAACCGGGCTGCACCATTAAGTTCAAGCAATGTCTTAACTAGTACAGACTAGAGTACAAGTACAAACATCTGTAATGCACTTCAATCAAGAGCAATCAAAAATGTAGAAACAGAATATCACTGAAGAATCGCAAGCTGTAAATAACACCAACAAGAATTTTAGGGTGTCAAGATAAGCCTCTATTAAACCAATCTACTGTAAATGTATTTTACTTTTCCGACTTTCCTCGTTAGAAATCCAGCTTCAGCGGGTATTCCAGTTGAAACTGACTTCCCAGTTCAAATGTAATGCACCATTAGCTAGCTTACTTAACAGTTTGTGTGGCACAACTTTAATGACTGTAAAGCTAAGTTAATATTTGTTATAATTAGGATAAATTTGAACTTTCCAGGAACTGCTGCAACCGGCCTATGATACATGATGATAAATATATACTGAAATAGTTTTTCTGTACTGTCTTATCTTTGATTAACATTGATTTCTGGCAACTTTAAAGGATTTTAGAGCACAGATTGTATTTTTTAATCAGCATCACAAGTCAGTACAATTTTTTTCCTCTCCACCATTCCTTCTACTCTTTACTCTACAAACTGAACATTGCCCAGCATGTCATCTTAAATACTCTGAGGTTGTGTTTCCTCCAAAGTACACTCTTCATTCAACAATCAACAATCAAAACTTTATTACAAGAATGGATGTGAGGTTTGCTTCAATGACTCTACAATTTCAAATACCATTTAGTGGCATCTAGTGGTGAAGCTGCAGATTGCAGCCAACTGAATACTGCATCTTCAAAGTATAAGAGAAACTACAATGGCTCACTATTTTTTATGTCAATACCTGTTATCACTTTATTATTTTATATCTCAAGTTGTTTGTATTTTTCTTTTTCTTTTATCAAACAAAGACCATGCTCAAAAACATTAAATCTCAAAATTAGAAGATTATTTATACTAGATTCAGCTATTAGTTAAGGCAGGTACAAACAACACTTGTCTGTACTGTATTTCGATGTTCCCCTGGAAGACTACAGGCACATACATGTACTTTTAATTAGGTTCCTTAAACAAACAATAAAGTCACAAAAAGTGTGAAAGGCCCTACCTAGAGCCAGTGTTTGGTTTGGCCGTTCTGGGCTACTGTAGAAACATGGTGGTTCAACATTGCGGACTGCGTGGAAGAGAAGCTCCCTCTGTAGCCCAATAACAGCCCCCATAATAATCCGATAAAAGTTTATTTAAAAGCTAATATTTAATAAACCATTACCCAAAAAATACACAACATATAAAAGTTTAAAATCGAGAATTCATAAAAATAATAAAAGTAACTGCTGTGGAGTACAGCTACCTTCAATGTTCTTCATACTACTGTAAAACCTTTTTAATATAATGGTTTTAATTTAACACCTTTAACCATACTTGTGTCCAGTGTTGTGGGCAGAGTAGACCACCAGTGCTTTTGTTAAACATGTCCATCCTGTAAAATATGAACCTCAATATCTGACTGACTTGTGTCAGATCTAAACAATGTGTGAATTTAAAATTGAGGTGGAATTATACTGGCAAAATATCAGCCCTCTCAGGTCTTAAGGAAAAATGGAGAACAAACAGCCCTTTGTTAAAACCTCACAAACTGTCTCTTAACCTCTTTCCACTTTCCTCTGATGATTGAAGCATTGCTGACGTCTCAGTGCGGTATGGCGGTGCTGGCACCAGCGCCCATCTCCTTCTCACAGATGAAGCGGCAGTACATGCTGCAGGGGGCGTCGTACCAGCTCCGGATCGCCACTCGATCCAACACGCGCGTTTTCACGATGTAGCCACAGTCCTCGTCGATGTGATTGTTGGGCTCGCCGACCTCCCAGAAACTACAGTTAGAAGAGAGAAAGGAATCACTTTGGCCAGCAATATGCTTAAAGCCATCCAGAAATAGTGTTACTGTTAATGTAGTTAATGTTAGTTGACATTGGCTGGAATAGTGGTGTGTGACTCTCTCTTCTGTTTTGTTTATTTCCTATTTACATAGCCAGGACTGTGTACAAACGCAAGATGTATTATTTTCAGAGCAGAAAGCTAACAGACAGTGAGGAGAAGATTCACTGAATCTGACAAAAAGTGTATTGGATTAGAAATGCTAAAATGTCTTACTCCACCTTTAATCAGGCAGTTAAAGAGAGATAAAAGCAACACAATTTCCACTAATTTCAGTACAGGTCTGTCCAGAAAAGCAGTTCTGGAGATAAACATAAAAGCTGCTGATGCTGTGAAAAGTGATTAAAGTTTCATGGATAAAAGTTGAATATTTCAACAGCTGAGCAGAGCCAAGCCAGAAAAACATGAGTAAACATTGGTATCTCAGCAGGAAAAGAGGAAGGGAAGGAAAGTACGGGGCAAAAGAGGAATGATAACGGGTTAGTCACAAACAAATGTGTTCAAAATGAGGAAGAGAAATCAGATGGTTATTGGAAAATCTGTCAAGTTGGCACAAGATGGAAAAGTAACTGATCTGACTTAGCATTTTAAAGGTGAATGTATCTTTCAACATGTAGTCTTTGGCTCTGACACATTTGTTTGTCATCAGAGGTCAGAGGGGAGGGTCACCTGCAGTGCAGCGCCCTGCAGCAGTTTAAGAGTAACTAAACCCTACACCACTTTTCTTCAGATGAAAAACCTAGATTGCATATGGATATTCAGGTCCAAATGTTTACATTGCCTTGTAAATATGCAGAGCGACCTCCCTCTACTGGTTGAAACTGTCACTCGGTCGGTGTAACCTCTGTAGTCACGAGGGGCATTTAAAAACTTTGCTGGGAGGGAGGGAGCCAACAGAAATTTGTGTTTTAGTTACACTTTAACAGCACTTTCATAACCCGGCTCAGAGCTGCTGTTTGCAAGCACACATGATCCTGGTCTCCCTCCAGCTGTTGTCTCACATGTGGAACATCTTTAACTCTTTAACTCTTTACTGACTGTCCTATTCCTTGTTGCTTTCGTTAAAACAAAGTCTAAATAGGGCTGAAACTAAATGATTATTTTTTCATCAATGTACCTTTCTTTGCACCTTATCTACCTATTTATCTTTTTTATCTTTTCTACCTCAGTATTTTATTCTATTTAAATGTACCTGGCTGCTATGACGACCCAATTTCCCTTCGGGGATTAATAAAGTCTATCTATCTATCTATCTATCTATCTATCTATCTATCTATCTATCTATCTATCTATCTATCTATCTATCTATCTATTTTCTTTGTTAATAAATTAATATGAATAGAATTCATGTTGTTAAATTTGTAAAAAAAACAATCAGAAATTTCCCAGGGACCAAGGTAATGTCTTCAAATTGCTTTTTGTTGAAGCAACAGTCCAAAATATTACATTTACAGTGAATGTAACAGAGAAAAGCAGTAATAAAACAAAGTTGATTATCAGTAACTTAAATAATGAATCGATAATCAAAAGAATTAACTGTTGCTTGTCGCTAATTGATCTGATGATGGTTCTGGGTTAAACATCAGGCGGTTAGAAGGTAACTCATCTTGAGGGACACAAGAATGTGTGTACTAGTGATAGTGACATAAATGTGACATTATGAGGTCACATTGAGGTTTGCTGCAGCAAGGAGTCAGCCTTGGCCAGGTCTTCCTGGTGAGCTACCTGGGAGCCCCCACCAACAAGAAGTTCTGATGGAGTATATTGACATCCCTTGAGTCATGCTTCTAGTGTCACTAAAATGAGTATCACATCCTCTTTTGGCTCCAAGGAATAACACTCCAGTAAAACAGGAAGCAGTTTAAACTTAACATTGTCATTCGCCTCGTCTACTGACTAGATCTTCCCTCTGACCACCTGACACTCCTCAACAAGAGTCACTGTGCAGCTCGCAGGCCAAAACCTCTGCCAAAGTCTGTAAGTATGTGAGAGGCCAATGTTCAGCAGAGGTAAAAGTCCAATGGTCAGTCAATGTGTGTGTGGGTGTTCAGCCAATTGTGGGTGTATCACAGACAGTCTGGAGCCAGAGGAGGTGGAGTCACAGTTTGGACAGAAATGAACTGTTCATTGTATCAAAGCCTGAGTTGAAGTCCTCCCAACATTCAATACACAGCTAGTGATATCTTCCTCTATACAGCATTAATGTGGTTTCTATCTACTCTTTGTTTCATACAATCTTCTTCAGCCAGTGCTTGAGGAAGGGGAGTTGAATGAGAGACTGCATTGCGTAACAGAACCTAGCGCACCAGAGGATAGACCAGATGTGACTTCATGACTTTGGTCGGTGTGCTGTGTGGTGCTGAACACGTAAACCTACCCTCCGACCAGCGGGGTGCCATCCACCCACTTCCAGTGATCCTCCGTGTGCTCGTCAGTGATCCCAAACCAGAAGGCGTTCCAGTGGCCTCTGGGCAGGAGATTCCACAGAAATGTCTGAGAGGAAACACAGACATAAATGTTTAGGTATATTCAAGACTCTTCAAGATTCAGCAATCATCACTCACCACAAGAGCTGTGGTTGCAGTGATTCATAGTGTACGAAACCTTAAACATTTTATTGACTGCTCTGTTTTGCAGCCACTGCTGTCCTTACCACTCTTAACTGGCCGCAAATGGCCACATTCTGGCCTTTGTCACGTCTCAAAAAGTGACATCCATATAAAAGTTTGGTCTAATTTTGAACTGAAGTATCTGCAGATTAATTCCATACCATGTGTTATGATGTTGTTATGTTGTTATGATGATGATCATGTTATGATCCACCAACGGAACGATTATGAGATGAATGAATCACACCGCCATCTTTCATCTGGCAGTTACCTTTCTTTTTTTAAGTGTCCATTCTTCTACTAAGAATGGGTGTACTTTTGATACCTCTTAAACTCATTGTCTTCGAGACTCACTCAAAATAAACTCCAACTGATACAAAAGCTGATGACATCTTTGGGTCATCGCGGCATTGTAATCTCCATGCAGCGTATCGTACTGTACCTGCTCCTCAGCAGTGTGGATGATGGCCAGGTAACCTCCTTGGCTCTCGCAGTATGACTGGCTCTCCGGCCAATCCCTTGTGGTTCTAGAGATGAAGTAACAGCTGTTGTTGAAGAGATGCCAGTCCACGGGGCAGACGATAGGGGCAGGCGTCGCCTTCGGCGTCGGTTTGATCACCTCAGGAGCTGATGACACCCAGACGGAGATTGATTAGGCAACAGAAGAAGAACGGTACAGTTCCCCAACATCTATATTTCATAGCTCTACTGTAGCTCACACTTTAGCACTACAGTAAGCGTAGTATGCATACAAACATCGAGCCGTCTACCTTTAGTGGCGGCCAGTTTGGCCAGCAGCTCGTCCTTTTCTTTCTGCAGCTGATTTTTCTCCTGCTGCAGTTTGTTGATGGTCGCGATCAGAGCCGTCACGTTTGTGTCCTGCTTCTGCTTCTCTGAGGTCGCTTCACCACCACCCTGAGGTTTGGTCTTATCTGTGGAACAAATGGACCAAAGGTTAAAAGAAGTTAAAAGACTTTACTCGTTGGTAGATAGGTGCACAGGATGCTTACAAAACAACAAAGGTAAAGATTAAGAAGCAGTAAAACATGACCGCCTGACGCCATTATCAGAACCATTTGTAAATATGCAAATACACTTTGTACATATGTCTCCCAGGTGATACATATCAATAAAAGAAGACAATTGTGGTGAACTATCTGATGAAAGAGATAATTCCCAGATCCATCCTTCCAAGGGGAATAATAGTGGCAAACTCCTTTAACTTCTAAAATCCCCCAGCAGCTGAGCAAAGTGTCAGGACAGGTGAATAACACAATTAATAACAATAAGGTATCCAAATTTAGATTGTTTATTTATGTTATATGTTTGTTAAAATAATTACTATTGGCTTATATATTGCTATTGGAATTTCTAAACTGCCAAATATTTCTATCAGTATCTGCCTCAGTAGTTCAGCTTTGGTGGGTTCTAATAAAAATCTGGGCTAAGCAAGGATACCCTTATTTAAATAATACAACATTTAAATTCACGTGCCATAGCTATTTCTTTTGTTGAATTTATTAGGAAGGGCGGCCACGCTAACCTGAACGATTAAAAAAGGTAAATAATGGTAATTCATTTAAATGTATTTTCTCTTTGTTTAAGTTCATCTTTTGGACAGGATGCAACAGCAAACAGAATAAAAATTACGCACGTCTTGCATTAGATGCATTCTATAATAATGCATTAATTTGCTCTCATCCCTGCCACATGTACCATACATCATATCGTCTGACCTGTTTTGTCCTTTTCCTAGGCATTTCAATTGTAGATTCTTAGAAAACGGAGCCTCAAATAGTGATAATTATCTAAAAAAGCAAAATCATGAATACATCTTTTTGCCACAACGTCTGGCCTAAGTATGTTAATTAATCTACAGCCCAATCATTACATTTAAAAACACTGAAAATCTTCTTTGCCTGCCTCACAGCTGGCAGCAGTTCAGCAAACGAGCTCATTAAAAAGCAGAAGCAGCTTTTCAGCCTCCTGACTGTGTGGCTGTTTCGACACAACAAGCACACGTACACACGTGTACACACACACACACACACACACACACACACACACGTACATGTGCTAAATGCGTATAAAATCCATGCAAACAATTGGTAAATATAATATCAGTGTTGCAATGTGCAAACCACTGTATCCTCTTTTTTCCCACCTGAAACTGTCCATTCTGCAATTTTGAATTCACTGTTTCTGCCTCACTTTCACAGAGTAAACTGATGATGAGCTCCAGTCACACTGTGAAATTTTTATTTTCCCATGTAGTCTCCTGAAATGTTCAGTGGTGCATCCAGATTATCAACCGTGAACAAATCACTGTGTTGATGGTGCATGTGGGAGAAAAAAGGGTGTGTATATTATTTAAGTTAAATATGTAATGACTGTTAAGAATATTCCACCGAAAGAAATAAAGAACAGTTTGGGGGCTTTTCAGATCAGATATCTTCATATTTGTTCTCAAAAAACAGTTAAAAAACACTGACACCATGTAATGTCTGACTACTTTAACATACAAAAATGTGGAAATAGTAATTATTGAGAGAATATAAAGATGAAGCACCTGATTTAGACTTGAACAAAATGTATTTTGAAATTCAAACAGAAAGGGCTCTCAAAACGCTTGTCATAAAACTTTTACGAAGTGTTTTTGCTGCAGTCTGTGTACTCACTGTTTGAAGTGATGGCTATGACAGCGATCAGCAGTACGGCACACAGCGTAGCCAAGCAGATGGTGGCGAGGCGGTAGGGCCCGGAGCCACTCGGCCTGGGTATCATTCTGACTGGGGGGACTGGGTGAGCTGGTTGCAAGGAGGGAAAATCGTTGATTAAGTATTTAAAATATGCTGATTATAATAAACAATATTGAGCCCTTTAAATGTGAATGTTAAAGTGAGAATATGGAAGCTTTGAACATGGAAATAGACCTGACACATTCTTCCTCTAATAAATGAAAAGTTTAAAAGCAATAAAACACACAGTCACTCTTCAAACACTGCAGCAGCTGCTGGTGCTGAGCCCTCTTACTATCAGTAATGGAGTGCCACAGGGGTCTATTCTTGGTCCACTACTAGTTACATTATACAAATATAACATTATCATTCCTAATCAGTAATTCAATGTGCCTTTTTATGCAGATAATAAAGTTTTATACAGTATGTCCCTCCCCAACACAGGCTATCATTCATATTCAGTCTGTCTTTGATGCTTTCCAATTGTCACTTCTTCCTCACTGTGTGTAAATGCAGTATTCTCCACATTCATTACTGTCTCTGACTATTGTGAAATTAAATAATTAAATGGTACCTGTGTTGCCAAGGAATCTGTGTCAACTTTAATGATTAAGCAGATGCTTTGTTCTGTCACGCTTCTCCATCATTACCTCAGCAGCAGAACAGGGTTTGTTCACCACAGTGTGCTGCAATTTATCAATAATGACAATGTTTGTACTTATCAGTGGTCGTTCAGTTGGATGGACCATCTCATTAAATTTATCCATAAAGCTCTGCTCTTAAAGCCTCCAAACTACCTAACGTCAAATAAAACTTAAACCATATTTAAACCAGTCATAGCTGTTTTTCTCTTGCCGATGCAGGCTACAATCTCTCAATGATATAACTTAAGATAAAATGATATGTTGTTACAACAAGAAATGCTTCTTGTAAAAATGCAATAATTTGGTTTGTAGTAATGACAAAATATGTTGTAATAACAAAAGAATCTTTTAAGAATGAGAAAATGTTCTCCCTATAACAAGATACTGAAGAAACATTTTTTGTAATGGCGGCAGTGATAATATAATCAGTAATTGTCCAGGTCTGAGATAAGATCTTTGCTAAAGTGTTGTAAATGCAAACACAATAAATGCAACCTGCAACCATCCACTGCTCTGACAGTAATATCACTGTGTTGTTGCATTAAAGGAACTGAAATTGTGGTGGTGAAATCAACTAAGATCAGCACATGCTTTTATTGAGGTTTTTTACTTATTTGCTATTTGGCCTCGAGAGCTCTATACAATTTACTCACAGATGAATTACATTATTTTGAAGCAGAGCATTTTATCAACAAAAATCTCCTCTGCTCTGTTCAGACTTGTGAACATCAAACATGTCAGAGCAGCTTCTGGGATACCAAACAAAGCAGACAGCGGTGAGACAGCCATCACTGGGTGGGAAGATATTCCACCACAGATTAAAGGAATTATTATTATGATTAATAATGTTCTTTTTATTTGTTTTATGATCCATGTTTGTGTTTGTTTTTGTGTTAACATTGACCTCACTTACGTTTAAATAAATAGTTTAATAGTAAAAATCTTTCTGTTTCCTTCCCTTCTTTAAACACCGGGTTAATTATTAATTGTTGTGCCTCTCTTCCCTGGACCCCACAACTGAGGTCCTAACACATTTATAACAACCAGAGTTGTACAAGTGCTGTACAAATTAAAGTGACAATAAAATAAACTATATATAAATATAAATATAAGGCAATAACAAATATGTGCAAAAGCAGAGCCAGAACAAGACAACAATATAAAAAATTAAAATACTAAACCCACTAAGGGCAATCAAAAGCTATGGAAAACGTCTTGAGTTTTAGTGAAAGTGGAAGGCTGATCCAAAGCTTTGGAGCTGCCACTGCAAAGCACCATCTCCCTTATCTACCAACCTTGATTGTATGACAGTTAAAAACAGCTGCTCTGAGGATCTGAGAGGCCCTGGAGTTGGAGTACGGGCAGAGAGGTTCTGAGATGTAATGGGGAGCCTGCGAATGTACGGCTTTACATACAAAAGCCCCACATGTGCATACTTTAGAAGACGGAGAGCTGGTTCCAAATCTCACGGAGGACTGATTGTGCGGGGTCAAGTAAATTGTGGAAGAGACAACAGAGACGCTGTCAATTCTCATTAACGAGACTTTCACACTGGCTTCAACCTTTTGACCTTTCACATTTAACATAAAGATCCATAAAATGTCTGAGACACATCTGCAGGCGGCCTTGTCAGTGTGGGAATGTCTCATGCATCCGGCTGTAAACGTACATTTCCTCAGTTCCCATTGTGTTTTCTAAATGTTATCTCCCATCCTAAATTAAGGCTGAACAATTAATCAAAGTATTATCTAAATCCCTACATGCAAATCACAGAAGCTGCAACTTGTTGATCGAGGTAAAATGTGACAAACAGCATTATATTGTATAGTAGTATAATATTTGATCTAAAGCAAATCTAATCTAAAAACTTTACTGACGTTACAATAATCCATCTGAATGATGTTGTGTGTGACATACTGCACCCTGCTATCCCTTAAAGCAAATCACAATGAATATTTATATTTTATTAATTCATAATAACATTATTCATGGAATAATGGAGTTATTATACATGCCTCGTCTTTGGTTTGATATTGGCGTTATATATCAGGCATCAGTCGCCTGCTCTTTAAATATCGGCATTGAAAAAACGACATCGGTCGACCACTAATCCTGACTGCAGGAAGTCACTGTGTTTGTTTAAGATATTTTTCACTTAAAATGCAATCAAAATCATAATAATAATATTAATATTATACTGTATTGTAATGATTATTATAATATTACTATTTGTTTTCCTATACTAGGTTAATAACAATAATAATAAATATATAGATTATTATTTCTTTCTCACGCCACACACCGAACCTAATCATTTAACTTTTGGACTGTTTTGTAAATGTTTTATATTATTTTCTTATTATTTTCTTATTGTACATATATTCACTTCAATGTCACAAAATGTCACCAATGTACAACGTATGTCACTAACAAAACAACACTAATTTATGATCAATAAAATAACTTCCTGCCCAAACTTAGGTGACAGGACAGGAGGCTTTATCTGCCAACACTGACCAAATAAAGTTCCAGTGAATACAGGGTTCCTTTAATGTTTAATATCAAAAACTTATTAAAACTATTAAATCATAATAAGAATGAGTATTTAGAGCCGTGAACTACAGGATGATACCAGAGCCTGATAAAACCAGAGCATTATAATAATACAGTATGAAAGTTAGTTTTCTTATTAATCCAGTAAGAGAGAGAGACCAAAGGAAGAACACCCACAGTGAGACTGGAAGGAAAACAACAGCTTTTTATTTCCCCCATCAAGTCCCAGCAGTCAGATTAACATCTGTGCGGAGTTCTTACCGCCGAGTCGCACATCTGGCCTGCTCTCCTCGTCGTCTATCAGCTGGGAGTACATCCCGTCGGAGGCCAGAGAGTTCCCGGTGGTCGCCATTACCGCGGGAACAGGGGCCGAACTACACAGTGTGTAAAGAGTGAAAGTGGGCAGCAAACTCCCAGAGAGACTCTGAATCCCTCACCCCGCTCTCCCTGTGTATGAGCTGCACTGGGGTCAAGTACCACGCAGAAAGCAGGGGGAGTTCCGGTCATCTGTTTCAAAATAAAAGCCCGATGAATAAACACGCGGCGCAGTTTATTTAGGAAATAAGTCTGTATTGCAAAAACACACAAAAATAAAGCTCACACACAGAAATCCGGTGGAGGGAAATACATTGTAGTAAGTAAAAGTAGGAAAATAACAATGTAAAAATACACTGATAATGTTACAGTAAGGGCACAAAACAAAATATAAAAGTATGCAGGAAAAATTACCCCTGTCAGTGTAATATTATTAGCCTATATATATAATTATATTACTGGGCTTGATGCATTATATTGTTTATGCTTTTGTTGTACTAATACTTAATACTGATGAAAAAAATCCTCCACAAACAATGGAACTTGGTCTGATATACATAAGTACGTATATGTATTCAAAATACATTGTTTTTCATATGAAGAAAACTTTTCACATTAAACTGTATAAATAAGGTTTCTTTTCATTATCCTTTGCCAAACGTGCAATGTAAACACAGCAAATCTACTTGAACATGATCAATTTAGGGCTATTATTTTGAAGGCATCCTCGTATGTTTTCCGGTCTTCCTGTGGTGTGTTTGACATGGCTCTCTGATGTTTATTGCTCCACATCATTTATGGTAACCGCCACCCTCCTGGCCTCTGCTGTCTTCTGACCTTTTTGAAGGATTTGCAGGAACATGTGTAACAGTTTACAGCATCAGTGTGTCAGAAGCATGTTGTTGGGTTTGTGTCAGGGCTTGTCCGGACAAGCCACAGCGTCTTCTGCATGCATCAAGTAATGACCAGATGATCACTGTTCATCAGCTCCATCTAAATAAAGTGAACACTGGGCTGAAGATGGGAAGGAATAATAAGATTGGATGGATTTTATTGTGGGTGTAAATAATAGTAAAAGTGCACAAATTATATTGTTAGAATCAAATGTTATCATTGATTTTAACATATTGTGCTACCAAGAGGATGGATCCAACTGACTTTGGTGGTTCCTCTAAAGTGTGATAACCATGACTTCTCATCCAGCACCATTATAAGGTCAACATTTAAACTGGTCCACTACTTAACTAACAAAAACTAATGGCCTTCTCATGAGCAGCTGTTTTGTATTTAACATATGACATGCTAAACTGCATGTTCAAAGCACCAATGTACGCCCTCGAAAAGCCACAATTATGGCTGTAGAGTCTTGTTGATATGTTCTTCAATATCATCTGTTCAATAAGTATTTAAATATTCCATTTATTTATGAATTAGCCAAAGAAATTTGCAGCCCTTAACTGGATGGATGAGGATCAGGATCGGGACGTACAAAGGTGAAGATGATGATGAATGAAGACAAGGATGGGGATGATGATGGGTGAAAGTGATAACACAATGAGAGGTAGGCTGTATAACAGAATGAATGAGGATGAAGAGCTGTGATGAAGATTAGGAGAGGATGATATGGATGTGGGTGGCTGAGGATGATGAGGGTTGATCAAGGTTAAAGGAGGAGGATGAAGATGTGTGAGAATAATAATAAGAGACAGTTTGAATTTTAAAGGGGATCAAAATTAAAGGTGAGATGAGTGTAGAAGTATAACAGGTTTGATGAGTCTGAAAATGATTGCTTAACGCTCTTTTAATGAGGCTTTAAGTCTCCCAGCAACTTTGTTTATTAAAAAGAAAGATTCACAGAGCTTTATATTTGGCATTCAGCGTATAAGGCGGGTCGGTGCTGGCTTATTTCCACCATCCACAGTATTCCCAGGATCTCCTTTCACCAAAACACACCCACGCTGGTTTGATGTGAAGCAACTGTGAAAGTTAAGGTTTTATTAAAGTGCCATTTGGTGAATCATCTCTCGTTAAAGGCTCCTAATAATTGAGACTGAGAGATAAAGTTATTATGGTATGTTAAGCATGGGTGTGTCCTGCTAAAATAAGCAGGTTGAAATGCAAGGCTTCAATAGACCACGTTGGATCTGCACATAATGAAGTCTTTTCTGTTTCTCCTCTCCATTATTGGTAAAAATTACCCTTTTATTGGCTTATTTTTTAAATTGAGCAGCTGTTTTATGTAGTTTGTGGGGTTTCCATTGCTGGGTTCTTTCATTTGTTCACAGAGTAAATGTATTTATTTTGACTAAATTCAAACAAATATAAGGTAAGTAGCAAGAAGTAACAAGAAATGTGTTGTAATAAAGACTTCTGGAGCACTTTGGGTCCTGTGCAAACCTTTAATCAATGTCATTAAAAGCACCATAGACAAAAATGATCTTGACTTGCCACCCGAAGCTCTTAAATGTTTTTCTTCCTTTCAGGCTGCTGTGTGGGGCAGGATCTCCTGCCAGAGGGGCCAGTGGAGGCTTTTTTTGGTAAAAATGTCACTTTCCAAACCCTGGTTGATGTCAAAGATGACTTCATCACCTTTGCCTGGTTTTACAACGGCGGGAGTGGGCCGGTACCCATCGTCACTGTGACGCCAGCAGGGGAGACGGTGGCTGAAGGCTACCAGGGAAGAGTGAGGGTGAACCGGACCAATGGTTTCTTGACCCTGGGGCCACTGAAGGCGAACGACAGAGGTTTTTATAATGCTACCATGGTTACTTCTGAAATGATGAAGACTGGAGAGACCATGCTCCGAGTTCTGGGTGAGTCATTTCCTCAATTATTGAGAAGATAGCTGGTTAACATATAAGCCAAATCTGACTTTGAATATTTCCTGAGCAAAAGTAAATGAGACATAAACAGGTCCTTTGGCTCAATTAACCTTGAAAATTAGAGGTTAAGTATACTCAATGATGTTATAGGCCTATAATGCAATATACAAATACAATACACAGGTGCATAATATTGTACAGTATATGTAATTTTATTGTGAGTTATGTTTTGATGTCATTATTTACTTGTTATTATTATTAACAGATGAGTTTAATTTAAGTTCCCCTTTGCCCTCTTACCTCAGGGTAATTTAAGTTCCTATCTGCTGTTGTTGTTGTTGATTGTTCCTGGTTAATGCTTTCCAATTTAACAACTATTAAAAATAGCATATTAAAAAACAGAAATCAACACATAACTTAATGATCTCGTATGGCCACATTTTAGAGTGAGTTATAGGCTTAAGTTCAATAAAAAATTATTTGGAAAAATGTCTGAAGATTTGGAAATATAACAATTTATTTATTTCCAATGCCACCATTAGATATTTCTGTTCATTTATTTACTAATATTACACAATAATGTAACGTCTTTAAGTTAAAATATCCTTATTTGGGGGCTTTTCCAAGAAAAATATTGATATATGTGATTGTTTGTCTGCCACCCCTTTGTACACCCCATGAATATTTCTCTAGATCCGCCCCTGACTGTAGCCCAAATATTACACCACAGCATAACAGGAATATGCCAAACTGTAAGAATACAAGCTGATATATAAAACTGTGAAATAAGGAGAACTCAAAATGGTATTCTACATTCAGACTGATTGTGATACAAATTTTCTTGATTTGCTTTATTTGTATGAACTTTATCGCAAAAGTGCAAACAGTGAATGGACCAACAGATGTTTACTCATATTATTGGTTATTGTAAATACAATTATAAAACATAAGAGGTAATGTAAAGTAGTAGAAAATGTCCATCTTGCAAAGTTGTAACAGCTCAGATGGATCTCAGATCATCAAATTTGACTTTTAACCTGTTGTTCCTGTACAGTCATGGAACAGAGGCAGAATTGGGATTGGGCCATTAATACTGTATCCATAATAGCAGATATCCATTTTCCTCATGGACAGAAAGCCCCAGTGTCATGTTTCAGGTTTTCAGAAAGACATATAAAAGACATCCTCTATAATACTCCAGTGAGTTACAGAGGCATCAGAAGGGGTGGGAATACAGCTGTCCACAGAGTCTACAGGGATTATGAGATTACTCAACAATCCACACTAAATACAACAGATAGAGAGTTTTGCAACTGAAGCGGAGTCTGAAATAACAAAAGCCAACCAATGTTGTTTTTACCAATCATTTCCTGATATGGCTAGATACAGAGTCAGTAAAACTCAGTTAGCTGAATTCAACTTGTAAAACCCCCTCGGCTCTCCAAAATGCAGAAGCCCCCTCTTTCATTATCTCAAGCTACAGTAAAGGTCACAAAGCATCACTTTACAACTCTGTGCTATCACAAAAAACTACTATCGGTTCCCTGGAAACTGTATGTGAAATAGATTTTGGAATTACACTTAAAGACAAAGAATCGATTGACCGATCGATCTTTAATTCGAAGTGCAAGTCACATAACATTCGCACTAGGATAATTTAAGATCATTAACAGACTGTATTGGACACCCTCTAGATTGTATCAGGCATTTAAGGATGACCCTGGGAGCTGGAGGTGAATTAGAATTTGACTGTCTTTCATATTTAACAGGGTCAACCTGAACCTGAAAGTTGGTCTTCTTCATTTTAGGATGCTGTGACTGGTACGCACTGCCTGAGGGTCCAGTGGATGCAGTCTCAGGGAAACCTGTTACTTTCAAAACCCTGATGGATCCCAAAGAGAACTTCAGTGATATAGTCTGGTTTTTCAGCAATGGGGGTCAACTGACGCGTTTAGCCACTGTGACCAGCAGCCTGCGGACGAGTGTAGTGTCTGAAGCTTACAAGGAGAGATTGAAGCTGAACCAGACCAACGGGTTCTTGACACTAATGTCTCCAACCATGGCAGACAGTGGGGATTATTACATCAACATCTTTATAGGAACCAGGGTGAAGACCGGAGAGACCAAGCTGCGAGTTCTGGGTGAGCTACTGTATATTACTCCTGTCTATGTTTTCAGTTGTGTCTTTAGCCGTGCTAGCAGCGTGGCTATAGACATGGAAATGTTGGTTGGCCCACAGATTACTTTGACTTTGGTGATAGCCCTGACTTTTCTTCTATAGCACAACCAGCGGGTTGACTTTTTCCTACGGGATGAATTGTAAAGCACAGCACATTTGTGCCATGTTTGTGTATCACCATGTACATTTTGAAGCAAATCTTGATCCAAATGCAGGTTATTTCTAAATATTTGTAATTAAAATAACCAATTTACAGGATTCTGCAGCATTAAGCTTTTAATAGTAGACTACACATTTTTTACAATATCAGATTGCACAAATCTTTTGAAGCCTACATGTTAAGAGGGTCCAGGAAGTCAAGTGTGGAAAAAGTATTTAAGTTTCTGATGTTGGTTCCCATGTTGTTTAACCACACAGTTGAACAAGGCTTGTCGCGTCTTGTCATTGTACATAAACAACTGCATTTATTCTCACAAGGGTGTGTTCTGTCCCTTTCATTATTTCTAACAGCAGTTACTAGCCCAGGGGGTATTTTATTACACTGATTATGCAATCTAAGGGCAGAAGGGAAAGAGCCTGATAGTCTCAGACACTGTGTCCATATGTAGAGAGAAGTGCCATGCATTGAAACATCCATTGAGCCACTTCACCATTCAAATGAACGTGTTTCCACTTGCAGAGCCGGTATCAAATGTGACCATCAGGGCCAACGTGCCTGAGACGGTAGAGTTTAACAGCACTGTGGTTCTCACCTGCTCTGCCGAGGGCTCATTCCTCAAATTCTCCTGGACCAGCGGCAAAGCACCTATCATGGCCGACAACACACGACTCTCTATCAAAGAGGCGAGACTTTGTGTGCTTTTTTTATCTCATAAGATTTGAATTTGGACTGCACTGAAGAAGGATTTGAACCAAAGTTAAAGTTGAATAACTGATATCTTATCAAGTAAATGTATCATTTCATTGGTCTTCCTTCTGCAGGAGGCCACATCCAGTATGCTGACTATCAGTGGTATTCGGAGTTCAGACCTGGTTGGGCCCATCTACTGCACAGCTGCCAACCAGCTGGAGATGGAGAAGAGCGCCCCCTTCAACCTCACTGTCATCTGTGAGTACTGCACCTATAGCAGTAGTTTTAAAGATTGGGGGAAATTGGGAATTTCTTTATTCATTTTTGCCAGGACTGAAACTTTGCTATGTTCCCCTGTAGGTTTTTTGTTGTTGTGCCTCCCGGTCCCTACATGGGGTTGATAATTGTTCTCCATGTTTTGTATTATTACAATTGATCAAAGAAATACAATTTAAATTAAAATATTAAAATATAGATGCTACAGTATGAAGATGAAGGTTACATACATACACACATAAAATAGAGCAAAGTTTGAAGCTACAACTGAGAATTTGATTGTCAACAGGAATTAAAATCCTGAAGGCAAATGATGTTGAATCTAAACCATATGGAAAAGGAGGGGGTTGGGATGGATCAGTGAATAGCTGGTAGAACTCAATTATCAATGCACTACAAGGTCTGGTCTGATGAAGATGTGCAATGTCACTTTTGGACCAGAAGATGTCACCATTAAATAATGTATTCAATTTTGAAACTCCAGCAGCAGCATGGTCCACACAGACGTGCTGCACAACATAATAAAACTACTACAGGCTATACTGTTACGGTTGCAATAACTAAAATCTAAAAATCATTTCTTGTACCCTTTTCAGTTCCTGCACCTCCATCTGTAGTGACTCATCCAGCACAGCCTAGTAGGTTGAAAACTTCATTTCTGAATGGGATACACTTTCAAATCCACCATCTTTCTTCAATTCAAAGATTTTATTTGTCATATGCTCACACAATATCAGTGTATTTGTCTGTAACAGGTAGAGTTCAGTGAAACTGAGGTTTTAATATTTTCATATATAATATATTGACTTTTCCAGTATCTGACTCTGTTTCTTTACACTGATCTCAGATCTGACTGCCAGCGTGAAGCCTGAAAGTGTGAGTGAAGGACAAAATGTGACTCTAACATGTGACACATCCTGCGAACTGCCTGGGCCGAGCACTATTGTCTGGTTCAGAAATGGGCAACAAGTGGCCAAACCACCCCATTTCCAGGCCAGTGCAGAGGATGCTGGGAGTTATACGTGTGCTGTTGAAGGCCAGGAGTCAGTGCAGAGCAATCCGGTGTTCCTGGATGTTCACTGTGAGTTTATCAATGATACCATTATAGGTTAAAACAGGTTTGAACTTGTACATGGTGTCTATTACTGTTAATTATACTGTTTGCTTTTGGAGTTTGAATTAAACATATTTTAAGTGGGGCTTCCAAAACAAAATAAATTGCTATATATATATGTACATTTGAATATGAAAAATTATTCTAAACACATTTGTAAAGTTATGTTAAATTTGGATTGGTCCATATTGAAATATTTCCTGTTTTATATTTAGTTGGCAATAGATATACCTTGCCTATCAACAAAATCTCTTCATGCTGTACTATTTGGAACTATTTGTAAACGTGTTTGCAAGAAGTTAGTTTTTTTTAAAAAATAAAATGTAATAGACATCTTGTAAATTACACTGACATATTAATTCAAAGCCAGAACATTTCAGTCCAAAACAAAGTTGCTGAACAGCATTACAAGTTTACAATATGGTGAAACATGGGAGCCAATGACTTATGGCCATTTATTTTTTACTGGTTGCTTTTTCTGAATGCTTTCTGTTGTTTTTCAGTAGTTTCTCTTGACAGACTTATGATGTTGAGTTTTGAATATAAATATTTGAAGCTTGTATGGTAACTACAATCTATACATGAATATATGGTAACAACAGTCTCTCTGATTTTTGTACAGATGCTCCAGTGAATGTGTTAATTGAGGTCAGTCACAATGGCACCCTGGCAGAGGGCAGCAGTGTGAACCTGACCTGCAGCAGTGCTGCTAAACCTGTAGGCAGATACACCTGGTACAGAAGGACTTCTTCCAGTTCCCTGCTCCAGGTGGGCTCAGGAAAGGTCCTGTCTTTAGCCTCTCTGGATCTGTCCAATGCTGGACTCTATGTGTGTCAGGTCAGGAACCGTCTGGGAGAAAAAAGCTCAAGTGAAGTGCTGCTGGAGGTCGATGTTTTAGAGAGTAAGTATGCAAACTGAAAGAAGGAGAAAGGGGGAATAGCATGATGGAGGGCTGGGAGATAAAGACTATTAATAGTTTAAATCCTGTCTGATCCAACCATAGATCCCAAATCCCAATCCCAAAGAACAAGAACAATCATTTTAATATTTTCATGCAATGCAATAGTGCAGCATCTTAAGTTTATGATGGTCAATAGCTATAACAGAAACTGAACATTCATTCACTCTTTATTTGTTATTCTACATTCTGCAGACCCCATTGAAATGAGGTAAATAAAAACAACTAAATTGTATATCCGGATGGTAGTTTTAATGTGTAGAGTAACTCCTTTCCTATCCATCCCTTGTGTAGATAAACACACACAAAGCATGTTATTGTTATATTATAACAAGTAATTTTGTAAAATAATATTTAAATTAACTGTATGTGGTCAAAACAATTACATTCACAAATGTCACATATGTTGATAAATACAATGAGACAATAGAAATATGTAAACCGCCACACTTACAGGAGATTTGAACTATTAATGGTTTCTGAATTGAATTTACATATATACAATTTCATACAATATGATGACCATACATTCTCGTCTGCTTCACTAGCACCCACAGGACCAACAGAGGAGGGAGAGGAAGGTGGTAAACTAAAAGCAACATCCTCACATGCTGCCACATCCTCCCACTCCACCATGTCCCCATATACAAGTCTGTCCTCACCACCTGCCACTTCCTCCAAAACCACCATGTCCCCATATACAACCCTGTCCTCACCACCTGCCACATCCTCACATGCCACCATGTCCACATATACAACCCTGTCCTCACCACCTGCCACATCCTCACATGCCACCATGTCCCCATATACAACCCTGTCCTCACTACCTGCCACATCCTCCCACACCACCATGTCCCCATATACAACCCTGTCCTCACCACCTGCCACATCCTCACATGCCACCACAACACAGGACAGGGATACAAGATTTGATCAGCACACCTGGTTTGGCAAGTTGCAGGCGGAACTGTTGGAGATGCGGTTGAGCTTTGAGAGGAGCCTCCGTCAGATGGAAAGCCGTACACATTCCCTGCTGTGGTCCATGAGCAGGAGGTTGGAGCGAATGACAGAGGCTGTGGATCGTAATTCCCCCTCCTCTCACCAGGATAAAACCTTTTTATCCCTTAGCCATTTGCTATCCAGGGGTGTTTCAGCAGTGACCCCTTCAAGCCAACCCGCAGGCAGTCGCCCCATGAATCTTCAGAACAGAGGTCAGCGCAGACGTGAAGGTCGGAGAGGAACTCGGTCCTGAAAAGGAAGAGCTTATGTTAAGTTACCAGTTCTGTTGTTTCTAAGGACCAGTGTGTAGGATTTAGTGACATCTAGAGGTGTAGTAGGAGATTGCAAGTCCCTCACTTCAGCCTCTCCCCTGAGAAGGAGAAATTTCAGCGGCCACAAACTTACATAGCCCAATCTACAACCAGTGTTTGGTTTGTTAGTTCTGAGCTACTGTAGAAACTGTCCATGGAAAGAAACTGGTGGCGTCTTTAGATAACAGCAGCTTATTCTTAGGTAACAAAATCATAACGATTCTTATTTTCAGGTGTTTATACAATAATGAAAACATAGTTATACATATCATATTCCATTTCTGTCAATGGATCATCCTAAATGTTACACACTGGATCTTGAAATGAAAACGAACATGATACACTTATTTTTATTCTTAATAATTTGATATGAACATATATGTTTTCATCTTAAAATCTTACCTTTCGACAGTTATGTCTTTTTAATAAGATTTTGATCTTACAAGCAAAACTTTTCAGTAAACTCTTGTTTGACTTGCCATTTTCCATTAACCCTTGTCTAATTCAATTATCTTTACTGTTTGTGGGGGTAAGTCAAGATAGGCTAGCTGAGATCATTCTTGAGTGTCTTTATTTGTAAGAATATTAGAAATATATATTTTTTACTCTGGTAACAGACACTAACTGTTCATTATGTCAAGATTCTGACAGTAGAAATCTCCTCTATCTTCAGCTTGAAATACACTGATGTTAGAGTGAACAAAGAGTTTGATCCACAGCCTGTAAAACACTCTGGAACCCCAGAACCTTTGTGAGTTTCCCCCAAAGTTTGCAGTTTAGGTGCTTTACCATATTTCTGTAGGTACCAGGCTATGTCATGATAAACTCAAAAGTTTTTTACTTCTATATCACAGTTTGGTGAAATGTTGAACTTAAGCTTTACAAAAGTTTTATTGGTCTTTTACAAAAGGTAATGATTGTACCTAGAAAATGATAACTTTTCATCTGATTATTAATTAATAAATATCCACAGTACATTACATTTACACCTTATGGACTACTGCAACACATCTGATTCTGATGATCATAATTTTAAGCCTTTTGATTCCCCTGCAATTGATTCTTACAATGTTGATGTTGCCCCAGATTTGAATTTGTTTTCATCATTTGATGCCATTAACCTCTGCAGATTTTATGATGAAACTCAGTTTAATGACTTATGTGTTTCTATGCCTTCTAATATATTCTCCACTTTCCACCTGAATACAAGAAGTCTTTCTTGCAACTATGACAAATGTATTCATTATTTATCTTCACTCAAACATAATTTCTCTGTTATTGCCTTATCTGAAACATGGCCTACAGAAGATTCTAGAGAAATATTTAAATTACCAAATTATAATTCAGTCCACTACGTAAGAGAGAATAGATCTGGAGGTGGAGTATTTCTGTTTTTTCTTGTTGACTATGAATTTAAAGTTAGGGATGATCTTTGCCTGAAGTCAGCTAGGGCTGAGGTGGAATCTGTGTTTGTGGAGCTCTCTGGTGTCTTTGGTGGAAAAAATGTTATAGTTGGTGTTATTTATCGCCCACCTGACTCTACTGTCCAAGATTTTAATGAAAGTCTGTCCAGTTCTCTTGATTTGATAAACAAGGAGGATACATTTTGTTATATTTTAGGAGACTTTAATATAAACCTCTTTAAAAAAAAATTTGATACTTTTTCTCACTTATTCATAAATCTACAAGAGTAAAGGAAAATTCAGCAACTTTGATTGATAACATCTTAACAAACAACTTGAGTGAAGGAATGAAATCTGGGGTTTTGTATTTAGATTTGTCAGATCATTTTCCTATATTAAAGATATGCTTGCCAGTATCTCATGGAATGATCTATATAAAGAAAATAATGCTTATTCTGCATATCAACATTTTATGAAAGTCATTAGCTATAGTTTCAATGAATGTTTTCCAATAGGCAGTTCTACTAGGAAATGCAATCAGGACTTAAGTAGGCCTTGGTTTACAGTTGATTTGCTGAAGCTGCTGAGGAAAAAGAATAAATTGTACAGAAAATATGTCTCAAATCCTACACCTGTTACCCATGGTGTTTATAAATCTTAAATATACTCATTCCATTAGATCTGCGAAAAAGAAATATTTCTGCGAAAAATGTAAGAGGTGTTCAAATGATACTTAAACCACATGGAAAGTTATAAATCAGTTGTTGCATAGAGAAAAAAAGACTCACCCAGAGTTACCTTCAATCTTTTTAGATGGTGACAATTCTTTTAACAATTCATTTGATATAGCAAAAAAATTCAATGATTTTTTTGTTAACATTGGTTATGAATTAGCTAGTAAAGTTCCTCCTAGTTGTGCCAATCCACTGGATTTCATTACAGTAAATTATCCTTCTATCTCTTCTTTTAAGCCTCATGATGTCCAAGAAATAAGTGACATTATTGATTAACTAAAAACATCTTCAGCTGACCATGATGACATTTCTGCATCCCTAGTTAAACAGGTCAATTTTGCTGCCACTAGGTTACGTTATTTCTCTGTCTATGGCAAGAAGCGTTGTACTAGAGGATTTAAAAGTTGCCAAAGTTATTCTTCTATTTAAAGCGGATGATCCGTGTTGTTTTAATAATTATAGACCCATATCTATTTTGCCATGTTTTTCAAAAATATTAGAAAAAATCATATACAAAAGGATCCTTTCTCATGTAGATTCTAATTCAATTCTTTACAAACATCAGTATGGTTTTTAGAAAAATCACTCCACTTATATGCCTTTGCTTCATTTGATTGACAAAGTTACCTCTGCATTAGAAAATAATGAATTTAATTGTAGTATATTCATTGATTTTTCACAAGCTTTTGATACAGTTAACCATCATATTTTACTGAAAAAACTGCATAAATATGGTTTTCATGATGTTACGTTTGAATGGTTAAAAAACTATGTCTCAAATAGAAGACAGTTTGTTTGTATTAATGGATGCTATTCCAACAAAGCTACACTACTTTGTGGGGTCCCCCAGGGATCCATTCTTGGACCATTATTATTTCTTATTTATATTAATGATTTATCAAATGTCTCAAATATTCTTTGTTTGCAGATGATACAACTCTAGTTTATTTTCACTCAAATTTCAATTCTCTGATTAAAAATTTGAATGTTGGTTTAACTAGATATGCTACATGGTTCAGTTTAAATAAGTTATTTCTGAATATAAAAAAAATCTAACTATATAATATTTTGTGGCAAAAAATCATACTCTAAGGATTTTTGTAAAGTTATAATTCAGTCTGTTGAGTTGCCTCAAGTCTCAACAACAAGATTCCTGAGTTTGAATTGGAAAGCACAAATACACTGGGTTAGCAAAAAAAATAAACAAATCTATCGGTATAATTAGGAGGATTAGTAATCTTGTTACCACAAGCTGTCTTCTTACACTTTATTACAGTTTAATTTATCCATTATCTTTCATATTGTAATATAGTTTGGGCAAGTACCTTTCCTACTTCACTCCATAGAATTTTGGTTCTTCAGAAACGTTTTGTTAGGATGGCAACCCGATCTGATGTCTCATCTGTACGTCTTTTTCAGAAACTCCAGATACTTACTGTTCATGACATCAATATCTCTCAAATATGTGTTCTTATTTATAAGGTATATTCAGATCATGAAAACTTTCCAGAGCACTTTCAGACTTATTTTAAATTTAATTCTCAGGTTCACTCTTATCCAACGTGACAATCTTTAGATCTTCATCCCCCAAGATTTTTTACGTGCAGAGGTCAATTTACTATTAAATTTAAGGGTACCAAATTATGGAATACCTTTTCCCATCTGGCAAAAAACTCCATCTCTATAAAATGTTTCAAAAGATGTCTAAAAGCCCATTTAACTGCTGTCTTAAAATTCTAATTCACACACAAACACACTTTTATATCATGTTCATATTTTTGTTTTCATATTGTTATTTTGTTGTCATTATAACTTGTTGTTGATGTTATATATTCTTTTTCTCTATTATCAGTTTGTTATTACTTTATGTAGTTATAATATTCTCTGTATGTCAATTTTCTGTTCCTTATAACTATGAAATTTTAGGTGGAGGCTTTAAATAAGCCCATCTGGGTTTTCTGCCTTTCCCTGCGCTATTTGTTATCTTTGTCGTTTTATTGTAATTCTAATCTGTGCAAAATAAATAAATAAAATAAAAATAAATAAATAAATTAAGAGAAGGATTTTGTGACCTCCAACAGAATGTCTTGGCATATAAAAGTATAATTTTTTAGTGTCAGTGAGAGGTGCTGAAGCATTTTCCGATTAGAACCCCCATGTTTTGTATAAATATGAAGAGTAAAGGAGAAATAAATCATTCTTGCATTATTAACAGTTGTACTTATAAATTCTAATTATTTAGATTTATCTATGGACTTTTTAAAACAACTGGAGATTCTGTCTCTGTGTGGATTGTGTGTGTGTGTGTGTGTGTGTGTGTGTGTGTGTGTGTGCGTGTCCTCAGTGAAGTGTATCAGTCTCTGCAGTAGCTTCCAGCTGCAGCAGTCAGTTCAGTTTCTGTTCAGTCTGACTGAGGGAGGTTTTTGTATGATGCTTTTTCACTGTGTGAAATCTTCATCTTCATCTCATGATCAACAATGAATCTTTAACTTTTTATCTTTAGTACTGAAACCTGTCTGTTGTCATGGTTCAGCAGTGATGCCTGTCTGTTGCCAGGGTTACTGAGCTCAGAGAAGGAAGTGAAATTTTAAGACCAGTTTCATTCAGTCTGAAGAAGACCATCAGAACTAGAAGCCTCCTCTGCTGCAACCAACAGGATGGAGTTCAGTTTACCTCATATAAACTTTATTAATCTCTCTCTCTGCAGTGGGTTGAGTCGTCCCCACCCTGACAGTGCTGCCCCCCTCCAGTGAGGAGCTGCAGCAGGGGAAGGCCACGCTCATGTGTCTGGCCAACAGGGGCTTCCCCTCAGACTGGAGTCTGTCCTGGAAGGTGGACGGCAGCAGCAGCAGCAGCAGCTGGGAGCAGAGCATGAGCCCCGGGGTGCTGAAGGACGGCCAGTACAGCTGGAGCAGCACCCTGAGGCTCTCTGCAGACCACTGGAGGAAGGTGGGCTCTGTGACCTGTGAGGCCACCCAGGGATCCCAGACTCCGCTCTCAGAGACACTGAGGAGAGACCAGTGTTCCCAGTTCTGACCTGACCCACTGGGACTCTGATACTGGTTTCACTCTGCTACTGCTGTCAGTCTGCACTGTGCAACACCGTTGCTCTCTCTCTCTCTCTCTCTCTCTTTCTCTGTCTTTCTCAATGGTTTCAAGATTTCAAAATAATAAAGATTTAATAAAATCATCAGTTTTCATGTGAGTATTATTAATTTAGCACGTTTATAAATGTTTAGAATCATCAGAAAAGTTCCTCTATAATTGGCAGTTGTATATGCTTTAATATACCTTGTTAATTATACCCATGTTTAGACCATTTAGAAGATCACCTATCTTTTATCATTCTGAAGTCTGAATATGAGGATGATTCATTATGTAACAAGGGCTAAATCTGTCCCTTGAAATTATTGAAAATTTAAAAAAGAGTTCAGATAGAAATGTTCATAGTTAGATACACAGAGCAGCGCATCATCTGCATCAAGTGATATACAATATCTTTGATCTCATGATAGTAATGTCTCGTACATGTCATAGCTCTTTCAGTACAATCTGACAATAGATGTTTTGCTGTGGTATCCTAAAGCAAGAGCTTGTCCTACTGTTGGAGCCATGAGGACTATAAGCTATAGTTATAGTTAAAGCATATGAAAAAGAGAATTAAATGATGATAGTAAAATGATTTATAAAGCAGTATACAAACATGATATGGTTAAATATGGATGTTGAATAATTTGTTTGCTCATGCCCTGAATTATCCTTGTTTCTGCTCTACTATTGCATTAAAGTAATTTAATTATGGGAATAACTGCACCAGGGGGAAATTGACACCAGGCAAAACGGGGGAACAGAAGCATTCTTTGGACGCAAATTCTAGAATGCATACTGTTGAAAGGTCATTTTTGTTATACCTAGACATACCTACGTTAAAATATTGAAAATAAAATTCCTTTGTTAACTTTGAATCCGCGGTTGCTTGTTTTTTGGTGTGTGTGTTATCAATCCCGCTCAAATAACGGCTTAATGAAAGTGATTTTGAATTAAAAGTCACTAACAGTGCACTCACAGATGACCTACTCTTCCATTGTTAACTTCTCACTGTCTCTTTACCACCATTGTTAGTATTCTGTACAACAAAGTGAATGTAATAGAATTATTGCTCAGCACTGCTGTGTAAAGTTGTGTTTTCTGACCTTGTACCACAATGACAAGTGTTATGTTTATGACTGATAATTTATCCCAATCAAACAGAAACCTGATTTTAAACCTTGTCAAATATCTCTTGTGTGACATTGTGTGTTTAGTGTAATCTAATTTATTAAATTGTGTGTGTGTGTGTGTGTCTGTGTGTGTGTGTGTGTGTGTGTGTGTGTGTGTGTGTGTCCTCAGTGAAGTGTATCAGTCTCTGCAGTAGCTTCCAGCTGCAGCAGTCACTTCAGTTTCTGTTCAGTCTGACTGAGGGAGGTTTTTGTACGACGCTTTTTCACTGTGTGAACAACCACTGACTGTTGATGTAATGACCACCCATGCAGTAGTAAGCTGCTGTGTCTTCAGTCTGTACTCCACTGATGGTCAGAGTGAAGTCAGAGTTTGATCCACTGCCTGTAAAACGACCTGGAATCCCTGATGCTTGAGTGCTAGTATAGTAAATGAGCAGTTCAGGAGTTTCTCCATCTCTCTGTCGGTACCAGGATAAATAGTAATATTTATAGATGTTCTGACTAGTTCTACATGTGATGGTGACGGAGCCTCCCAGAACAGAGCTCACTGCTCCAGGCTGAGTCACTGTGACCTGGCCTCTGGACTCTGAGGATACAGAGACAAAAACATAAAGCAGCGTCATGGTTTTGTGGGCTTCATTTCAGAGGGACGGATGTTCATAGAGGAGAGGAGTTTGATTCTCTGGACTTTACCTGTGAAGCAGCAGCAGAGGAGAGTCCAGATGAGGACGGAGATCAAAGTCATGTTTTTGATGAGGAGGATTTCTGTGTCTTCTGTTGTCATGAAGGACAGCTGTCAGTCATCCAGTGTTCAACTCTCAGGACTATAAACTCTCCCAGAGCACTGGAGCATGGTGCTGCTGATGCAAAGTGGCTCTCTATGGAAATGCTCTGACTGACTCCAATAGGGACTTGGATTCCTCTCATGATGCTGTTTATCAATGGATCAATCACTTTATCAGAGTATTGATTAGGAATGTGTCAGTGCTCATTTGTATGAGGCTTTGGTTTCAGTTTGATGGACACATTTTCTTCCAGAATATTTAGTGAATTCCCCTTAATTCACTACCACACAGATCAACATCACTGATGGACACATTTTAACAACATTATCAGTTATTATAATGTAAAATAAACATTACTCATGATAATTGTTTGCATTTGTCAGGTTTTTTTTGTATATCTTATTTCAATGTCTTCTGAAAGACGAATTCGTTTTACTTGTACATGTTTGACATTTCAGACAAAAAAGGTTAAATATATATTAATATTTTGTAAATTGATTTCAAACACTACAATCGGTGATTGCATAAACTGGGTAAACTGGGAATGTGTTTGCTGAGTTTGTTTGTGTCAAAGTCAGAGAGCCATGTCTCTCTACAGTGAGAGGTTTTTGTACGGCGGCTCAATGAGTTTGTATCACTGTGGTACACGTTCGGTGGAGGAACCAGACTGAAAGTTAACTGTAAGTACATTTAACTCTTTTAACAACAAATAATTTCCATGTATTCTGTTTAAATCTTATAGCTGTCGACCTTAAAGGAATATTTTGCCTAATATTTGAAATCTAATGTGTTTCTAACAATTCTTGAAGGCTTCAGAGTGTCATTAACCAGACTACAATCCACTCCAATTGATAATGTTTTGCAATAAAGCTTTAATTTTCTACATTCTTATCAGTTAATTGTAAAACTACTAAGCAATACTCTGTAAGGAGAGAAAGTCTTTAAGTATAAGATTTACTTTTTTGGATCAAGAACTCTGCTAATAGTTTTTGTTCAGTGTTTAATGTGTATGGGTAATACTCAATCTTACTCTCAGAGTAACAATATTAAAGCCATTCCACAAATTTTATTATGAGAATGTCATGAGTTTGAAGTAGTTCAGTAGTTAACAATCTTCACTTTGAATGTTTCTGACTTTTCAATGATGATTCCTGCTTACATGAAGAGAACAAACACATATCATCATTTATCAGGTTTTAGCTTTATACAAGAAATATTTGAGATGGTTAAAACAATAACAATGTCACAATCTTCATCTCATGTTTAACAAGGAATCTTTGACTATTTACTTTATTATTTAAAAACTATACACTGGACTAAAAGTTTTAACTTTTTATCTTTAGTACTGAAACCTGTCTGTTGTCATGGTTCAGCAGTGATGCCTGTCTGTTGCCATGGTTACTGAGCTCAGAGAGGAAGTGAAACGTTTAAGACCAGTTTCATTCAGTCTGAAGAAGACCAACAGAACTAGAAGCCTCCTCTGCTGCAACCAACAGGATGGAGTTCAGTTTACCTCATATAAACTGTATTAATCTCTCTCTCTGCAGTGGATCGAGTTGTCCCCACCCTGACGGTGCTGCCCCCCTCCAGTGAGGAGCTGCAGCAGGGGAAGGCCACGCTCATGTGTCTGGCCAACAAGGGCTTCCCCTCAGACTGGAGTCTGTCCTGGAAGGTGGACGGCAGCAGCAGCAGCAGCAGCAGCAGCAGCTGGGAGCAGAGCAGGAGCCCCGGGGTGCTGAAGGACGGCCACTACTGCTGGAGCAGCACCCTGAGGCTCTCTGCAGACCACTGGAGGAAGGTGGGCTCTGTGACCTGTGAGGCCACCCAGGGCTCCCAGACTCCGCTCTCAGAGACACTGAGGAGAGACCAGTGTCCCCAGTTCTGACCTGACTCACTGGGACTCTGATACTGGTTTTACTCTGCTACTGCTGTCAGTCTGCACTCTGCAACACCGTTGCTCTCTCTCTCTCTCTCTCTCTCTCTCTCTCTCTCCCTTTTTTCTCTCTGTCTCTCTCGATGGTTTCAAGATTTCAAAATAATAAAGATTTAATAAAATCAGCAGTTTTCATGTATTACTAATTCAGCACATTTAGAAATGTTTAGAAACATTAGAAAAGTTCCTCTATAATTGGCAGTTGTATATGCTTTAATGAACCTTGTTAATTATACCCATGTTTAGACCATTTAGAAGATCACCTATCTTTAATCATTCTGAAGTCTGAATATGAGGATGATTCATTATGTAACAAGGGTTAGATCTGCTCCTTGAAATTATTGAAAATCTTTACCAAAGTTTAAAAAAGAGTTCAGATAGAAATGTTCATAGTTAGATACACAGAGCAGCGCATCATCTGCATCAAGTGATATACAATATCTTTGATCTTATGATGGTAATGTGTCGTACATGTCATAGCTCTTTCAGTACAATCTGACAATAGATGTTTTGCTGTGGTATCCTAAAGCAAGAGCTTGTCCTACTGTTGGAGCCATGAGGACTATAAGCTATAGTTATAGTTAAAGTATATGAAAAAGAGAATTAAATGATGACAGTAAAATGATTTATAAGGCAGTATACAAACATGATATGGTTAAATATGGATGTTGAATAATTTGCTTGCTCATGCCCTGAATTCTCCTTGTGGCTGCTCTACTACTGAAGTAATTTAATTATGGGAATAACTGCACCAGGGGGAAATTGACACCAGGCAAAACGGGGGAACAGAAGCATTTTTTGGACGCAAATTCCAGAATGCATACTGTTGAAAGGTCATTTTTGTTATACCTAGGCATACCTACGTTAAAATATTGAAAATAAAATTCCTTTGTTAACTTCGCGGTTGCTTGTTTATTGGTTTGTGTGTTATCAATCCCGCTCAAATAACGGCTTAATGAAAGTGATTTTGAATTAAAAGTCACTAACAGTGCACTCACATATGACCTATTCTTCCATTGTTAACTTCTCACTGTCTCTTTACCACCATTGTTAGTATTCTGTCCAACAAAGTGAATGTGGTAGAATTATTGCTCAACACTGCTGTGTAAAGTTGTGTTTTCTGACCTTGTACCACAATGAGTGTTATGTTTATGGCTGATAATTTATCCCAATTAAACAGAAACCTGATTTTAACCCTTGTCAAGTCTCTCTTGTGTGACATTGTGTGTTTAGTGTAATCTAATTTGTTAAATTTTGTGTGTGTGTGTGTGTGTGTGTGTGTGTGTGTGTGTGTGTGTGTGTGTGTCCTCAGTGAAGTGTATCAGTCTCTGCAGTAGCTTCCAGCTGCAGCAGTCAGTTCAGTTTCTGTTCAGTCTGACTGAGGGAGGTTTTTGTACGACGCTTTTTCACTGTGTGAACAACCACTGACTGTTGATGTAATGACCACCCATGCAGTAGTAAACTGCTGCATCTTCAGTCTGGACTCCACTGATGGTCAGAGTGAAGTCAGAGTTTGATCCACTGCCTGAAAAACGATCTGGAATCCCTGATGGTCGAGTGCTAGTATAGTAAATGAGCAGTTCAGGAGTTTCTCCATCTCTCTGTCGGTACCAGGATAAATAGTAATATTTATAGATGTTCTGACTAGTTCTACATGTGATTGTGACGGAGCCTCCCTGAACAGACCTCACTGCTCCAGGTTGAGTCACTGTGACCTGGCCTCTGGACTCTGAGGATACAGAGACAAAAACATAAAGCAGCGTCATGGTTTTGTGGGCTTCATTTCAGAGGGACGGATGTTCATAGAGGAGAGGAGTTTGATTCTCTGGACTTTACCTGTGAAGCAGCAGCAGAGGAGAGTCCAGATGAGGACGGAGATCAAAGTCATGTTTTTGATGAGGAGGATTTCTGTGTCTTCTGTTGTCATGAAGGACAGCTGTCAGTCATCCAGTGTTCAACTCTCAGGACTATAAACTCTCCCAGAGCACTGGAGCATGGTGCTGCTGATGCAAAGTGGCTGTCTATGGAAATGCAGGAGAGACCATGTTCTTAGTATTGAACGGACACAGTGTGACTACAGCCCTAAATCTTCTTTTTGTCATCCCACCAATTTAACATCATTGAACTTCAGATTGTGACATTTTCATTGTTCCAATAATGCTGTAAGACAATAAAGATATTTTATTCTTTCAATCAAATGTTTTTTCATGGATCTTTCTACCAACAACATTTTCATATTTTCACAGTGCAGGATTATAACCCATGTCACATGAAGATCTTCTCATCATTGGTGATACTTATACATTCTGGGATTACATCATGCAGGTAGAAACAAGGTGTGATTGAAGAATGAAAATAGGTCATTTATATAAAATCATGTTTAAAGGTTGTTTAGATTAATCTCCAATAATAAATAGTGTTTTAAGGATTAGCAACAAAATGTTTTAGTATTGTCAGCATAAGATCAAGCAAGCCAGAAAGTATTAGCCACCATGAGCATGAGCAAGCAAATTATTCAACATCCATATTTAACCATATCATGTTTGTATACTGCCTTATAAATCATTTTACTGTCATCATTTAATTCTCTTTTTCATATGCTTTAACTATAACTATAGCTTATAGTCCTCATGGCTCCAACAGTAGGACAAGCTCTTGCTTTAGGATACCACAGCAAAACATCTATTGTCAGATTGTACTGCATAGGTGGTCATTACATCAACAGTCAGTGGTTGTTCACACAGTGAAAAAGTGTCGTACAAAAACCTCCCTTAGAAACAAAATGTTTTAGTATTGTCAGCATAAGATCAAGCAAGCCAGAAAGTATTAGCCACCATGGGAGATAACTTGTGCCCCCCCCATACTTTGTGTGTGTGAGAAAGAGGTGAAACAACATCCAATAACACAAACAGGGCGATCTATAATCCCTTTTGTATTAGATTTAGTATTTAAAGAGCTTCCTTAGCTCAACGAGACTCTGAGACGTATGGGGTAACATCATTTCATTTGAGCGAGGCTGACCTGGACACGTGTGTTCCTATCTTAATAATCACAGTAGATCATTGAATTTACACTGACAGTGTTTGTCCCTGAGTCAAATCTGAACTATTTAATACAGGTGATCATTTTAATAAAGAAATGTAAGGATTATGCACACAGCACATCTGATAGCTCTGTCAGTACAATCTGATTTATACCTCTGTGTGTGTTTGTATTCATATCTTCTTCTTATTTGCAATATCTCTTTAGGAACACAGAGGGTCATGCTGTCACTTAAGTACAAGTTTAATAAACGTTTTATGCTACGTAGCAGCGATACACAGACTGTATACACACCACAAGAGCTGCATGCTCTGCATTGTGTACTTCTGGATTGCTCTTATGTTGCTATTCCTGCTTTTCATCAGGCCCTTATATTGTGACATTTTCATCTGCTCATTAACTGTCTCACGTTAGCACCATTCTATTAACTGAACAATATATAAGATTATATAACTATAATAGGATATAAATGGATGGTGAGAAGCTGTGATAGAGAAAGTAAAATGGATTTCCAACAAGATTATGTTTTACTGTGTTGATACATGTTAAATGGTTGTTTAAGCAATTGTGAAGTGTGTGTGTGTGTTTGTGTGTGTGTGTGTGTGTGTGTGTGTCCTCAGTGAAGTGTATCAGTCTCTGCAGTAGCTTCCAGCTGCAGCAGTCAGTTCAGTTTCTGTTCAGTCTGACTGAGGGAGGTTTTTGTACGATGCTTTTTCACTGTGGGAACGAATACTGGCTGTTGGCGTAGAATTCACCCATACAGTAGTAAACTGCTGCATCTTCAGTCTGGACTCCACTGATGGTCAGAGTGAAGTCAGAGTTTGATCCACTGCCTGTAAAACGACCTGGAATCCCTGATGCTCGAGTGCTAGTTGTATAAATGAGCAGTTTAGGAATTTCTCCATCTCTCTGTTGGTACCAGGAAAGGTAGTTCCCATTTACATTCTGACTGGTCCTACATGTGATTGTGACGGAGCGTCCCAGAGCAGAGCTCACTGCTCCAGGCTGAGTCACTGTGACCTGGCCTCTGGACTCTGAGGATACAGAGACAAAAACATAAAGCAGCGTCATGGTTTTGTGGGCTTCATTTCAGAGGGACGGATGTTCATAGAGGAGAGGAGTTTGATTCTCTGGACTTTACCTGTGAAGCAGCAGCAGAGGAGAGTCCAGATGAGGACGGAGATCAAAGTCATGTTTTTGATGAGGAGGATTTCTGTGTCTTCTGTTGTCATGAAGGACAGCTGTCAGTCATCCAGTGTTCAACTCTCAGGACTATAAACTCTCCCAGAGCACTGGAGCATGGTGCTGCTGATGCAAAGTGGCTCTCTATGGAAATGCTCTGACTGACTCCAACAGGGACTTGGATTCCTCTCATGATGCTGTTTATCAATGGATCAATCACTTCAATGGATTGCTGATTCGGAAACACACAACAACAAGTTCATATAATTTTGGTTCTATTCTAATGCATATATTTTCTTTACATTTCAAATTTAATTAGAAACATGTATTTTATATAGGAGACAGTCCATCACCACCAGCACTGTGCAGCAGTGGTCGGTGGAGGCAGAGGAGGCCTAGATGGACTGTTACACGGGGGTGTAGTAAGGGGTTGGAAGTAAGTTTCTACACAAGTACTAAATACAATATTGTAAAGTATTTATATTCAGTTTTAGGTTGCTTGAGGCTGATAAATATATCTTGTTTTAATTTCGATATGGATTTATTCATGTATTTCTCCTCATTTATCATGGAGGCTAACTCAGAGCAGCTTTTCTAAACATTTCTTTAAACATTCCTGTTAAACTGAAATTCAAACAGCCCAAAGTGTAGAAAAGATAAAACTGCAAACTGTTTTATAAATGTCTTTAAAGATTTGCTTTTTATTTTTCCACATTTGTAATAGCTGTTTTTGAATAAGTTGAGATTGAGTTATTAAAATAAAATCGTACAGAGTGAAGATAAAGCTTACAATTTGAAAATCTTCAAAATCTCTTCATTTCGTCATAGATTGCTTCCAATTTAAAATCTGTTGAAGAGTTTGGTAATAATGATTGAAATCCACATGAAGAACATTTGATTGTAGTCAGTTCATTTTCTGTGTTTGTTCATGTTTCCACTAAATACTTTAAAGTAATGTATAGTTCAGGTTTTGGATGATTTTGATGATACAGTTTTTGATATTTTATTTCCAGTGTAGTTTGATATATTTCAGCTCATTCTGTATGATGATTCTCTCTGTGCTGATATGCATGAGAGGCTTCTTAAAGGGAAGTGAAACAATGTGTGAGTGAGTGACTGGTGGAGCAGAAAAACCATCTGACAGAAACTCCTTAAAGGAGAAAATCAACTCTCACACAGTAAAGGTGTCCAAGTGTCTGCTGCTTGATTGACAGCTGTGTGGTCCCTGTCCTCTAAGCTGATTGGTGTCTCCTAGGTGATGTCCGTCCCACCCTGACGGTGCTGCCCCCCTCCAGTGAGGAGCTGCAGCAGGGGAAGGCCACGCTCATGTGTCTGGCCAACAAGGGCTTCCCCTCAGACTGGAGTCTGTCCTGGAAGGTGGACGGCAGCAGCAACAGCAGCAGCTGGGAGGAGAGCAGGAGCCCCGGGGTGCTGAAGGACGGCCACTACAGCTGGAGCAGCACCCTGAGGCTCTCTGCAGACCACTGGAGGAAGGTGGGCTCTGTGACCTGTGAGGCCACCCAGGGCTCCCAGACTCCGCTCTCAGAGACACTGAGGAGAGACCAGTGTTCCCAGTTCTGACCTGACTCACTGGGACTCTGATACTGGTTTTACTCTGCTACTGCTCTCAGTCTCCACTCTCTCATTATCTGTCTAAATCTTTCTTTTCCTCCTCTCACTCTCTGATTACATGTTTCATTAATTCAATTTGTTATTTTGATTATTTCAACACAATAAAGACCAGTTCATCAAGTCATTTGTTGTCATGTGTGTTACTGTAAACTCATGTTGTAGACTTAATAGTAACATTATATCCAAAAACATTGAACAAAATTGAGATGAAGATTAAAACATATTAGGTAATGTCTTCAGAAAGAATATGATGTAGAACAAAAATTTTAATATCTCTCCTCATTCTTTAGAAAAAATAAAAGAAATCAGATAATCAATTATCAGTTCTTATTGTAACCCAACATCATCAAAGTAAATCAATTATTTTCTTTAGATTCCTTCAAGCATTTGTTATGACACAAACATTCCTCTAATCATGAATTTATTTTTTGGTAACAAAGCTGATCGATAAAGTATCTTCTGAATCTATTTCAACGTAACACAAATTTACATCAGTGGAAAACTTTATAGGACACATGCAATATATCTAATGATCCTGGAGTGTCCAGAAAGTAAAACGAATCTGAGTAAACTACAAAATATAAGAACAAATCATTTTAATTATAAAATAGAATATTACGGGTGACCGGTTAAGTCAATTGGTAGAGCTGGCGACCCATATACCGAGGCTGAGTCCTTGCTGCAGCGGCCCAGGGTTCTAGTCCGACCTGCGGCCCTTTGCTGTGTGTCATCCCCTCTCTTTGCCCCCCTTTCCTGTCTACCTTCGGCTGTCTCTATCAATTAAAGGCAATAAAGGCCCCCCCCCAAAAAAAATAGAATATTATCAGCATATTGTGTAAGATTCGTATCAGTATAACTTATGTGTTTTCATATGAACACAAGCTCAATTCAAGCTTCAAATAACATCTAAACTACGTTAAAAGACATGAAAGAAAATAATCTGTTTCAAATCAAACAAAAAACAAACTAATGTTAATGTCTTGTTATCAGTAATAACTCATCTACTTTTCGACTAATCTACAATGGATGTATCAAACTTATTTCCTACCCTCTCTCATCAAAGTTACCATTAGAACTTCCTACGCTTTATATCATATTTACTGACAGTATTCTGTTATATGGACTTCACTGTCTATTACATTTCTAAAGTGTCTGTATTTCTGTGTAGCTGTTGATTCAGATCAGTTCCTCTCCAGTTGAGGGAGGTTTTTGTACGACGTTGTATCACTGTGTGAACGGCCAGCTGTTACATTGCTGACAGTAATAATCTCCTGCATCTTCAGTCTGAACTCCGCTGATGGTCAGAGTGTAATCACTTCCAGATCCACTTCCACTAAAACGACCTGAAACTCCAGACTGACGGCTTGAAGAATGATAAATCAAGAGTTTAGGAGATTCTCCGGGTTTCTGAAGGTACCAATTAAGGAAGTTACCAACACTTGAACTGGCTTTACATCTGACAGAGACAGTCTGTCCTGGAACAACAGACTGAGCTTTAGGAGACTGAGTCAGGATGATTTCTCCTGATGAATCTGGAAAGAGTATCACAATAAGTCGAAATATTCAGACAATACACAATATGAAAGATATATAAATTATGAACATTATATTAGTTATATACAGTGTGTGTGTGTGTGTGTGTGTGTGTGTGTGTGTGTGTGTGTGTGTGTGTGTGTGCCTCGATCACTGTGTCTCAGGTTGTGGCATGTTAACACATACTGGGCAGCAAGGTGTGCCCGCTCTCCTTCTCGAGGAGTATTTTTAATTTGGAGAGGTCGTTCAGCTCTTTGAAATCTGGAACCAAAGAGCTGAACTTGTTCAAATAAATGTTTCTAGTATTATTTAATTTTGTACATTGTAGGAGAAAGTGCATCTCTGTCTCAACCTCACCTGTCGAACAGTGACCACATTTTCTGTTTTCTTTTTGTGTCTTCCTGTTTGGATTGGCAGTTTGTGGTCACTGAGCCTGTACTTGGTTAGGATCTGTCTCTGCTTTCTATCTCTGACAGTAGAGAGATATTCTGCTCATTCATAATCTCTTTTAAGGGCAAGATAACATTCCAATCTACTTTGGCTTTTAGTTGTTTCTTCCCAATGGTCCAGATAGCTTTCTTTACATTGTGCTATCATTTGCTTTACTCTGATTACTGTTTATAGAGCAGTGTTGTTGTGAAGCTGGTCAGAGTGTGTCTGAGAGGGGGCAGTTAGCCTCAGTACCAACTGACATAGGGGACTCTTTTCTGGGCTCAGCTCTTGGGTTTGGAGGGCTTTGGAGTGGAGGGTGTCTCTGGGGCTGGATTTCAGGTGGTTAAAGAAGTTGAGTGTTCTCTTCTGAATGTTAATTATCAGTGGGTATCTGCCTAATTCTGCTCTACATGCATTTGTTGGTGTGTTTCTGTGTACGTGTAAAATGTATCTGCAGAATTCTGCATGTAGAGATTCTGTTAGATGTTTGTCCCAACGGGTAAAGCTCTGATGACTGAGTGGACCCCATACTTCACTACCGTACAGCGCAATGGGCTGGATGACACTATCAAATATTTTAAACCAGATTTTTATTGGAATATGGAAATTATAAAATGCTCTCTTAATTGCATATAGAGCTCTTCGAGCTTTTTCTTTTAGTGCATTCACTGCCATGTTGAAACTCCCTGATGCTGTTATGGTTATACCAAGGTAGGTATAACTCATGCTGTGTTCAATGACATGATTATTGATAGTAAATTGGTGTTTGTTCTCATGACACCTGGGGCGTTTTTCAAAGATCATGACATTGGTTTTCTTCATGTTTACTGCCAGGGCCCAGTTACTACGTCCAGCTGTAGTTGTAGTCCTTGTTCAGTAGGAGACAGTAGAACAAGGATTGGACAGGATCTCTCTCTCTCTCTCTCTCTCTCTCTCTCTTTCTCTCTCCCTGCTGTATTTTTGAGTCTTCAGATAGTCCAAAACAAAACATCAACTCGAGTCTGACCTGTGGTCTCTCTCTCTCCCCCTGTTCTGTCTATATTGAGCTGTCTAATCAATGAAAAAGGCATAAAGCCCCAAATATTATGTTAAAAAGAGAAATTATGGTAGGTTTTATGTATCTGAAAAAATATAAAAGGTCACAAAATTTAACATTTTTAACAATTAAATCAATTTCTGCTCAAGCTCCATTCAGTCGCTGTTCTGGAGCTTTTGATCAAATTCCATAGTCTTCCTCAGCAGATGGAGTTCACCCATTTGTCATGGAATATTTGAACTTTGATGCCAACATGGACAAGAACTCCTGAAAATGCTCAGAGGAATGGGAATTTGAACAACTACAATTCAATGACAACTGGGAGACTCCATCTGCTGAAGAAGATCATGTGATATGATTGAAAGCTCCACAACAGTTAGTGGATGGATGTTGTACAGAGATTGTCTGGGTATTTCCAACGTCAACCAATAACTTTCAGTCCCAATGGATTTTTGGGGTATTTTAGTTGCATATGAAAGAACAGTTATTTTTTAATGTTGATATATTTATATCACGTAGGTCACTTTTGTCTTGTTATGTCTCCAGTAAATCTTTATTTTATTGATTTATTTTAATACAACTTGAGGGATGTACAGGTTTCGTTTGGTCCATCTTTGATTATGAACGTTTCTGATGTTAGTCTTTATACTCTTTGTTAATTGGATATAGTTGAAATAGCTGTGATCCAGAATTAAGCAGAGGTAAAAGGTCATGACCAAGACAGCTTTCATTAACTCTCTCATTGGCTTCTCTTGATAATTTTACAAACCAGATAAGAACATGTGTTTATAATGAGAAACTGTGAGGGAGAGTGTAATTTGATTTCCTCCAAGATTATTTTTTGTCACTGAGCTTGTTTTAATACATGTTCACTGGTGGTGGTGTGTGTGTGTGTGTGTGTGTGTGTGTGTGTCCTCAGTGAAGTGTATCAGTCTCTGCAGTAGCTTCCAGCTGCAGCAGTCAGTTCAGTTTCTGTTCAGTCTGACTGAGGAAGGTTTTTGTACAACGCTTTTTCACTGTGTGAACACATACTGACTGTTGATGTCATGAGCACTCTGACAGTAGTAAACTGCTGCATCTTCAGTCTGAACTCCACTGATGGTCAGAGTGAAGTCTGTCCAAGGCGAACTCCCTGTCCCAATGAAACGTTCTGAAACTCCAGACTGACGGCTTGTAGCACAGTTAATGAGGAGTTTAGGAACTTCTCCAGATTTCTGAAGGTACCAATTGAAGCAAAGTCTAACACCTGGACTAACGTTACATCTGATAGAGACAGTCTGTCCTGGAACAACAGACTGAGCTTTAGGAGACTGAGTCAGGATGATTTCTCCTGATGAATCTGGAAAACATGAAAAAGAGGAGAAGGGTTATTGAGACAAATCCAGTTTGGAGAAAGATGATCAACATCCAAACAGAAGAGTATCATTTCTTTAACATGGAGAATAGATGGAAGAAGGTAAATGCTGCTTGTTTCAGTGTTTCTCCATCATAGCAGAACATCATTGTGGTGAACCTGGTTGCATCCTGAAGCAAAGTTTTCAGAAGAGAGTCTCACCCTGAACAAGGAGCCCCAGGGTGGCCAGCAGTAGAGTCAGTGACATTATCATTGTGCTGCCGGCATGTCAGTGAAAGGTCTGGACAGCCACTGATCAACACTGGCCTCTTAACGGCTGGGAGCAGAGAGGAAGGACACATATGCAAACACACAGAGTCAGTGAACTGTAGCTGTCCTCAACATATCATG